TTTTCATATGTACACTTTAACGTGACTCACACTGTATAAGACTTAAAGGTGACTGACTGACTGACTGACAGTGATATATCAACGCACAGTCTAAACCACTGGACGGATGGGGCTGAAATTTGGGCATGCAGGTAGATGTTATGACGTAGGCATCCGCTAAGAAATGATTTTACGAAACTCCACCCCTAAGGGGGTAAAACGGGATCCACGCGTACGAAGTCGCGGGCGGCCGCTAGTAGAGATAATAAAAGAAATACGATAGATAATTATATCTCCGTACCAAACACCCCCAACTCAAGAGTCGGTCACCACCAAAAGAAGTCAATCCTGTCAGCATCCCATAATACCCATTATTTTCACCCTGCACCAATTTGTAACCCACACCATGACGGTTGCAAATCCAATTTGGGAGGGATTAAGAACCATCCCAATTACAATAACAAATACGTTTTAAAATAAAGTTTGGTTCGTTTATTGAAATAATGCTTATTGTAGAGTTTTCATATTTGAACTAAAGTAAAAGCAGAACTAAATACTTATTACTATGTTTTTAAATTATTTTGGAGAGCTATTAGAATTGCACCTAACAAAATAAAAATGAAATGTAACGTGATTATTAAACCGGGTGCAGACGGTTGTAACGTGTAATGCAATGGAAATAGTTTGGACAGCATTTTACATGTAATGCTCCTAGTCCTGTCCACACATAGAATTCGTGTTACATGCTGTACCCGGCTTTATTGACATATTTGATTAGATAATGTTTGGTATAGAGATAATTTGAATCCTAGGGAAATACATAGGATAGTTTTTATCCTAGTATTTGAAAGTAGTCTTTTTGTGAAAGTATTACACAAGACAATATCTAGCTGATTATTTATTAAAATAAGTTAAAATATAAAATTAAAAATAAATGTTGAAAAACTTGAGTTTCTTGCGCTGCTTCTTCTCAGCACTGCTGCACTGGCCCATTTATTGTCCCGAAGCAGTGGAAGGTTAAAGTAATAGGCACATGAAAAGCCTATTTGGAGATAATAAATTACTTTTATGACAACACCGCGTATATTTATCTCACTTTCGAGTCAATGACTTTATTGGTTTCCACGTAGATATAGACTCTGTGGTGCGTAACCTTGACAACCAATACAAGTCGGTTGCCAACCGGATATCCGGTTACGGAGGGTGTGGTGGATGGGCAAACAACTTTGATGGTGTAAGGCGAACCATGAATTACGGGGATCTCCCAGGACAGAGTGTAATCGACACCTATTCCATACCTTACTTTAATTACTACTAATCTTATTATCTTCTCTCGCGTAAACCACTGAGTCCAAACTTTTGTCACCAACCCCTACTCTTCCCGCGGGTGTCGTCGTAAAAGGCGACTTAGGGACTACACATCAAACAGAGAACGGGCAGCAGCACTCTCTGAAAGACATCAATCTTTTAAACTGCGATTTCCAACCCGCCTGCCAAGCGTGGGGATTATGGCAAAACCCTCCACTATAGTGGAGGACTTGGAGGAGGCTCATAGTCCAGCAGTGGACTGTAAAGGGCTGTTGATGATGTTGATGAAACCACTGAGAAAAAGTGTTTGTCGGAACAGCATCGTTAGCGATACATACAAGCTTTCGAAACTATGATGCAGTGGAAAAAACATTCGCAACAGCGTTCGTCGCTACAGCGGCATTCGAAACTACTAAGGGGATCCATTGATATTATACCTAGTTTAACGGAGTCAGTTTGAAAAACAAAAGATAGTTTTTATCCCGGTTTTTTAAAGGAAAATGCGCTCACGTGAAATCTTTTTTCATATGTAAAGTCTGTGTCCATAAATTCTTTATACTTTTTATATTATTTCTCGTGAAAAATTGATTCGTCATTATTTATATTTATGACGAATTTAGGTACGAGTTTAAATGATACATACAAAAATATGACAGATTAACTTTGTGGCAAATTGATAAAACTCCACAGAGCTTGTTACCTCTGTTGTAGTAAGTATATTAAAATACCGTTATTTATAAACTACTTCATGAATAGGGTCCGGTTCCCTAATAAAGACACTAATAATCTTTTCAGCATTGGACCACATAATTGTCCCCGAAGCATAGAGAGAAGGATCATACCGTCTTTTACAAGACCACTTTTATTATCTCTATAAAACAGAACAGAACAAAAATACACGTGTCTTGTACCTTTGTTAGTTAATTCCTTGTATCATTTACATAATCATACAAGATTGAACAGTCTTTTGCTAGTCTACAGGCCCTACAGGGTGTCCCAGAATTTGCACGTCACACTGACACCAGAGGTAAATGAGCTTAAGACGCATCTAACAAGTATAATAAGTCCATTTTTAAAAATAACTAATATGAGTTTTCAAAACTCATCAAACTTATATGGAAATGAATAAATAAAATTGGTCATAGTTATCTTAAAACTTATGAAACTTTTCTATGGACATATTAAGCTTGTTCGATGCGTCTTAGACTCAGCTACCTCCAGTGTCTGTGTGACGTGCTAATTTTGGGACACCTTGTATATTGCTGGGCTATGTATTAGAAACATTGCAGACTACAAATTTTAGTCGGCCAATAGTTGGATCGGCTTTCAATTTGTATGAAGAATCGGCCGATACGAAAATCGGGGTACCTAATGTGCGCACTTCCATTCATGTTCATCTTGATTAACAGCCCGAACAACTATCGGCCGACTAAGTCTGTAGTCTAAAGGCTGTCTTACCTATGTTCACAATGTAGTTTTTTGGAGAAGGTTACAGGGACATAGTTCTTTTTGAATGAAGCACACGGTCGTCGGGTAAAATCTGGTATTTCATCAGTGATGGATGCATTTAGACGAAATTCTCACAGCAAAAAAGTTCGTCTTCTTTATACACTGAGCAGAAGAAGTATCCATCTCGGGCGACACAACATGCACCCGGATGAGATAGCAGATATCACGCTCCAAAGAATCTGGAAATTTATAGACTCAACGGGACTAAGCAGTGAACTCTAAAGACAAGGGCTGCCACAATAGATCAAACCTGGTCGAGCTGGCGCAATGAAGGCCCAAAAAAAAAACAATAATAAATTATACACTGAGGTAATCGTTTTAAAATTGCATAATCAACATTGTAAAAACCAAAAACCGTTAATGGATCCGGTCACCAAGACAACCGGATATGGATATTTACCCTCAACCTGGAGGGCATATCCGGTTACGGGGCGGGGCCTATTTGAGGGTGTGGTGGGGGTGTTACAATAGGTACAGAACAGCTTGTCAAGGTAACTGTGGCTTGTGTAGTTGGGATAAGCGCTATTTTTCAACAAAAAATGGGTAGTTTGATATGATTTTGGCTGAATATTACTCCACCTACATTGATAATATGAGAAACTAAACTAGTTTTTTTTTACAAATTAATTGCTTGGTCTGGGTTGCACCATCTTACTTTATCATTGACAAACGTCAAAAATCTGTTAAACTCCATACAAAAAGCACCGGTTATCCTTATAGTTACCGTTAGTTAGGTGGTGCAACTCAGCCATAAAGTTGGTTTATTTAAAAAATAAACTTGACAGCCAGGCTTGGTGGTTTGCGTAATCACCACTCTGTGCCAGAGGTTATAGATTCGATTATTATGTTCACGCCTGCAAGGCTGCAACATATCCTAATTATTTAATTTAGCTTTCACGGCTTCGGTATTCAATGGCGGTCAAGCTGTAGAGCCTGGCTACACAGGAGTTGCAGTGATAGGAATGAGAGGTGGAGACGTCCCAAATATTATTATCAAACCAAAGTGATTTTATGAGTTATTTAGATATCCCGTTTGTTGCAGGAACTGTTTTTTACAGGATCCCGTTTTCAGTGTCCCGAAAAAAACCATCCGATAGAATTTGGAATTCGAATTTAAAACAACACACACTTGTGTATTCACACGACAGTTCAGTTTTGAGAGATCCTGCATTACAGGATACCGCAAAACTGGATTGCCGTGGCAAAGGGCCCTTATTGGGAATCGATCTCATACACTTCTAATCGAGAACTCTAACACCCGTATTCACAAACGATGCTTGTTTAAGTGAAGCAGCAAATCGAACGCACAGCGTTTTATAGAGCTCTGTGATTGGTTCGTGTGTCACCCTGTGCATCCACGCGCACTGTGAGACCTCATAGTAATGTTTGTGAATACGTGCGTTACAACTAAACCTAGGACGCAATAACAAGGAATCTTTAGCCCGTTTTCACCATCAATCCCTAATTTTTAAGTGAACCCTATGAAAAAATTTCATATTATTTGTTACCATAGGGTTCACTTAAAAATTAGGGTTTGATGGTGAAAACGGGCATTAGTGAAATAAGTTACAACAATTAATTCAAACTGCTCATTCATACTTAATATATTCGTCCGGTCGTTGTTTACCTACTACTACAGCAGAATCCTACCCAAAATAGATTGCGATTCGAAGAATGTTTGTATCGGCAGCAATAACATTTAAAGTACCCATATTATGTAGTTAAGTGTGAAATAGCTGGGGATTCTATGAAATTAAATATTTCATTAACATTTCAATAGGCACCTAGGTATAATAATATTACGTAGCTATGTGAGTTAAAAGCTCTGGGGATTCTATGAAGTTAAATTTATTTTTGTGAAAAATGATAAAGACTTGTCTCTCGAAATCATGAGATGGCAATTGAAAAATCTTTTAGGGAAATATGTAACTTCTTATAGGACCTTTACTTTGCCTACTATACATAATAGTTTTTCAAAAATTGCATAATACCTACTCGTAGAACAATAGATATTTTCAGTGTACGTGTATAATGTTACCATAATATCCAGTATTAAGATGTTAGTACACAACTTTAAAATTAAAAATAATAATTCCTTACATTTCCGTTTCCTTAAAAAACACAATTTAAAGGAACCTGTCATCAGACCCAAACCATAAACAATAAGGCACGTCATACACATCACAGATAATCGGGCCACTCACCTCGCAGACACACGCGACTTGCTCCTGTGTGAAGCCAAAACTCGGCAGGGGGGCATCTCTAGGTGGGGTGGCCTCCCGCTGTCCCCACTCAGGGCCCCCCAGCATGTCCAAATGCTCGTCTCCAGCCACTTTGACACCACAACTTAACTGGTAACACTAAAACTTCACGCGGAAAATCGCGAGCTATTACCGCTAGTGGCACGCTTTAATTTTCGTTCCTAATTTGAATTTTCGAATTTGAACACAGAACGGAACGGTATTTAAATAATGGTAGTCTTTACGGTAAATGCGTTCGAGTTTTGTTTATTCTTTCACTGTCTTGTTTTTAAAATCCTCTTTAGAGGCAGCTAAATAAACAGCCGAAGGCAGCAGTCCCAAAATGTTTGAACAAAGGCAATCATTTAAACTTCGATTACTTATTTGCGTTCGGAATTTGAAAAGGGCCGTTTATTTTTTAAAGTAAGTTGTTTTTATGGTACACACCGACGGTTTTTACTTTTTTTGTCTTTAAAATTCACTTGAAAACACCCAGTCTCTATCTGGCAGGCCACAGACGTGATAAAGTTTAGACATAAATGCTTTTTGGATGCAATTTTAGTTTTTTATTTATGTTTTATTCTTTGTTTTCTCTTCTTTCTCATTTTAATTGAGTTTTTGGAGTGGTTGTATCTGAAACAAAAGAAAAAAGTTCAGTAAAGTTTATCAAAGGCATCTTTACACAATATTTTGCTAATGAAGTCAAAATTCTTGACTAAATTATATGTAGCAATTCTATTAATAAATTAATCGTAAATCATAATCTTCTTATTATTAAAAAGAAAAATTCTTCTTATTATTTTATTAAATTGTTATTCATTGGTGGTTAAACTCTACCTATTATTGACTGTCTAATTCTGCCATAAAAGTCGCTTCATGGCAAAACTGAGAAACTTTTCCAGCGATTTTCCAGCTATAAGTAATCTAAAATAATATTTAACTAATGTATTATAGAAATATCAATTATGAGATTGAATATTTGGAGAATCACGTCTGGACTCAAAAAAAGTAATCGATAGACTGGTAATGTCAATTACCCTATCAAAACTTAACCATAAACAAATTAAACACTGAGATCAACAATCTAAAGCTCCTCCATCTGTCACTGAGATGAATGCTTATTGTCACGTATTGTTGTCAACCCGAAAATTCTTAACACCTCGCTCGCCGCACCGATTATTTTTAGAAAAATAAACTTCGGGGACACATTAAATCAATTTCCCACAATCGCACGACGAATCTCTAAAACGGTCGCCACCATCAATTATCCATATTTTTATCACACAAAATAATGTCACGTACGTACACATTACTCAGACAAAGGCTTACAATTTCGAGAAACAATTCAAAAGTCATCGTGAAACGTTAAAACAAGGAACCACAGTTGTCCCATTCTATTCTAACGCGTTTGGTGAGGTGCGAAAGAGACGGGGCAGTCTCGTGGGGGCAAAATGTTAAACGTTTGGTGTTTTAAGTAATTTTTATCGTCGACACGATCGTGAGGACCCTGCTGATATATGGAGCTGACGGGCGCCAGTGATGTCCTGGAGTCGATATTTTTAAGGACACCATGGGAATAAAATGGATGGTTTATTTTATAGGATCATACTGTAAGCCTGTAGCATAATTATTATGTAACCTACTAGGTCAAATATACATAGACATAATGTAGGAACAACTTGTCCCACCGGTAGTTTATGGTCTTCCTCAGCCCCTTTACAACTATCCTTGACTTGGATTCCGGATTCTCTTAATAAGCATACGTATTAATTGTTCATTATCACTCATAATTATTATCCCGAGGAGTGCGAAATCGAAGAACATAATAGTTTCACTGACATTCCTAAATGTCAAAGCTAAAGACAGATGTAGAGTCGGACGAAATAAAATGAAAAGTTTAGCTAAAAGAACTTGCTCGCCTTTTTTTAATAAAAATCAAACCAAAGAGCTTGATGTTGTACAAATATTGTTGTGTAAAATAAAGCTAGCTTTATCTAAAAAATACTTTTACACGAAAATTCGGTAATAGGCTAGTTGCCTAAAAAAATTTTTTTAGTCCGTAATGTTTAATATCAAAAAATATTGGACACGTATAATTTTATTTGTCAATCTAACAAATAATTACATAGTTATGGTGCGTTGAAGTTGCGCACGACGTCACAACGTGCGGCATTTTTAAGCAAGCGTTGACGTCACGGGCCTCTTCTTATGAACTTTGGGGCGCTTTATCTCTTTAAATTTTCATTAGTTTGAAAAAGTGAAAAATACGAGTAGAGTATTTTTTGATAAGTTAACTGACGGACTAATTAAAACTCTTGCTTTTTGACCCAGGCAACATCCCNCTACTGCTTCGACCTTTTAAGATTTTTTCATAAGCCTGTTCATAAAGGAATAGATCCGTTGATCCGCGATCCGTACTTTTGACTCTACGCCGAGGCATCTAAAACAAAATGTTCAAATACTTAGTTACTTACTGAATTAAGCTAAAATGTACATATTCAGAAGGGTTTTAGAAACCTATATTAAAACATTTTAAGTAGGCATTTAGGTACTTATATCACCTTTTTATCTACTTATTTAATAAAACACATTAAGTATGTATCTAATTAATGCTTAATGCATGCAACTATGAATGAGCCTAGACTATATTTTCAGTAGGTAGGTATGCCTGTAATTGTAAAAATATAATTGTAAAAATGTAAAATAACCACGTGAATGTTTTATAATAACTTATCTTATTATAAGTATAGGTACTTTAAAACCAATTTAAAATATTATGTAGTAAGTATAAAATAAGGTTCCGGGGGTTAATTGTACCACGGGGTTGATTGTACCGCTACAATTGACCCCATGGAGACTGGTACAATTGTTCCAAGTTGGTAGTCAAGAGAACTCACCTAAAATTCAGTCATTTTCACAGTGAATGCCAATAATTCGCTGTCGATACAAAGTTTAGAGCCTAGATAAACTATTGACAACAATACTTTGGTAACAAATAGCATATTAGGCAACTTATGGGCTCATATATTTGACATAAAAACTTACTGCGGCTGGGCAAAAAACAAAAATCCTTCCTGTACACCTTCGTTTCTCAGCACAAGCGCCGCCGACTGGTGAGCGGATGGAAACACAAAAAACGCATATTCTGACGCTATGCACACAATCTAACGTCGCTTGTATGAAGAAATATCGCCGATGGTACTATTGACCCGTGGTACTATTGTACCCGGTCTCCCCTACATTTAAATAGACACCAGTCATGGACTTATCTAAAGTTCTAAATTCAAATTACATCGATATAAGCCCCATCACTAGCGCCCCACGTGGCGTCCGCGATCCTTATCGGGCAGCACCAGCTGTAAAACACAAGATTTATCGACAGATTACCACGGCGCGATACCGGTACAAATCACCTCACTATTACCGATTTGTACGCTGATACTGAGGTTGGGGAAATAAAGTAAAATCCAATATTTATTGGAACTAATAAATTGATATTGAATCATAAAACAATGGTTGGGTCAAAATGTAATTTCTAATCGGGTCAAATCAATGAAAGCAGATTTTTTTTACATCTTTTTTAGGATAAAAGTTAACCCCTCTTATGCTTAGGCTAAATGGATGCTTGGGAGTATGTTCACCAATAGTCCAGAGTCAACGGGGTTCGAAGTTCGAACTACTGAATCTCGAAGAGCCATTTTTTGCCATTTACATGCGACGCCATTGGGCTATTGTTGCCTCTTATCAATTCTTCTCCTCATTATCTCACATCATCAAAGGTATTAAATAAAACTCGAATAACGAGATATTATCGGTGGATTTGAATGAAATTTTGGACTAGTCTAGTCTTTGCTAACTCCTTAGACCTTAGAGCATTCGACCTGACGGTCCAGGATATTTTGTGTCCTGTCGTGGGGTTCCAGTTGCATCTACAATAAACAATTCCACTTTTTAATAAGCAAGGCCATAATTTAGCTGCCAGGATATGCACGAGAAAATGTTATTGGATTTATTTTGTAATATGGAAAAATAATTATGGAAATGTGTTAATGCCGCTGACTTTATTCTGCCCGCACATTTTTTTTTAATCTACAACGAGGAAGCTCTTGGTCTGTATCTCACCTGATGGTAAGTGACGATCAGGCCGAAGGTGGAAGCGAGCTTCACCCGGAATCCTCAACCACGGTGGAACTGGCTATCTAATCTAACCTCTGCCGGAACACATTTTTGTGATGTTTGAACTAAATAAACTAATTTTCTTTCTTTATTTCTTTATAAAACTATTTCAAGTGTTTTAATACCTACCTACTCAGATGATTGTTTTACAAAAAAGTGAGTTGACTCTACATAATAAATGGTCTGTAAAAGTGGCCCATTACTTTTAACGAATATTTTTTAAAAGCAATCTGTCCGTCTACATTCATCTGGTAGCGAGACACTCCATTGCCTCCAACTACGTTTGTAAACACTGTCCATGTTCATTCATTAAAAAAACTTTCAAAATTATTTCTAATTTATTATGAAAGTGGGAGTTTTGAAGATCACCAATAATTAAACTTATTTTTACTAATAACTATCTAGTTTGGATCTACCTCCAGTTGCCAGTTTCCCACAACTGCAACTCCTGTATAGTCTGGATCTACTGCTTGGCTACCAATAAAACCCATCCAGTAAAAGTTGAGTAGTTCCGGAAAATCAATAAATAAACAAATGCTGTCTTAGAATGAGCAACGAATTAATCAGAATGATTTAGGAGTTCGAAGTTTATCATCGACTTTTTCGAACGGATGCAAAACGGAAGACAGATTCTTGGTATCCTTCCGTTTGGCCAAATTACTTTTCGCCAAATTTCACTTCGCAAACAACTTATCGCCAAAGTTTCATTTCCCAAATGAACTTTTAGCAACTGTACTTTTCGCAACTAATTCATTTGGACAAATTATCATTTGGCCAAATTTTACTTGGCAAATGTTTATATAGCAAATGTTTTATTTTGCCAAATATTATATCCCAAATAATTTGTTTGGTCAAATCGACACTTCCCCACAAATCAACGTATAAGGCAGAGGCAGATGATCATGGTTTTCACAAGAATGTTATGTAAAACAAAGAGATTGCAGAAAATAGTATGGTTGCAGAAAGTAGGTATTGCAGAAAATAGTAGGTTAGGTTAGGTTAGAACAGTGACCCTTAACGCGCGAAGGCGAGCGAAGCGTGCCGCGGCAGCGGCCGCCGAGCGCTAGAATCACCTCTATTGTTAATTAATAAATTGGAAATTNGTATTTTTGAACAACTATATATTCAACAACAATAACAACAACTATATAGTTCCAAAATACTGGACTGTCCTGTCGATGACATTGACAGTGGGGCGCCACCGTCAATACCGGATCGCTGGTTCAGATTTTTGCCATGTTGGAAACCATATAGTTGAACGATGGTAGCGCCCCCCTGTCATTGAGTTTGGCGGGACAGTTCAGCGTGGGTCATCTATACGGGTCATTCCATNGTCCTCAACAGTAGGTAACAAGTAAAGCCTGACCAGGAACATAAAAACCCTCGCCATGTTGCGGAAAACTAATGGTACTAATTTCTTTTAATGGCAACAGTAACTGAAAACTTCATTGTCATGTCACCTTGCCTTGCATGTCAGTCTATTGCTGTCAAAGTGTAAACAAACTTTATTTTAAATGTTTGAATTGATTTTGTGAAGNTTCAACTACCTATTTTAAATATTTTTTTCACTTTTTAAGTGTTGAATTTTATGGAATTGGGAAAGTTTGAAGCGTTCATGAGCAAACATTGCAGTTGAATATTCAAGTTCTGATTTCGATTATTGATAAATAATAAAATTAATCCTAATTATAGCTCGATTGATGGTTTCATTTATTTAAACCAGGTTACATATAATAATATTTTTTCGTTAATTTATGAAAATATCAAATTAGCCCGTAATCCTGAATCCTGATACATAAAGTTAGCCCATTAATTTAACACAGGTACGACTGTACTCAGTGTTGCACTATCAAATGCAATTGACGCGCCTCTATGCCAGGGTTTTTATGTTCCTGGTCAGGCTATAATTGTCTTCAATATTCCAGTATATTTTTAAGATTTTAATTTAAAACGAATAGAGTTGACATCTTGCTAGCAGAGAGTATGCTGTAGAAGACAAGTAAAATCACAGATAAGTGTGATAAATGATCAACTAACATCTTTTAGTAGGTGCACTAAAAAACCTTGGTGACCGTCACAGCAAAACATCCGTGATTAAAGTGTTGTTCGGTCGTTTAAATAAAAACTACCTAATTGTCACTGTTCACAATGACATAATGAGGCAAAATATTGAAAAAAAAAACATAACATACCTACACCACACAGAACTTGGCTGTTAAAGTTCAACAGCACAACTAAATACAGGATGCAGATTAAGTCGACGATTATCCTCATCAAAACGAACAAATTTTACTATTTAAAAAAATTGTTAGTCTTAAAAAAAATATGGTTTTGAACATTATCATCGAGGTAGAGCGCTAATTTGTATAGCACGTATTCGCGAAATCAATATTTTTTTCATTCCATTAGCCTTATCATTAGCTTTACTATTAGCCATCTAGCAGGAGATACTCTGAAGAAGACGAAACAGACATTATCATAGAAATCGAAGACGTTATTTTTATTTGCTTAGAGGTTTATTTAAGACTAGGGTGTTACCAGTACAAATCATGCATCGTTTTTAATTTTAACTAACGGCTAAAAGGTGACTGATAAACTTAATATTGAAGATCATCCCTCTCAGACTGTTAAACACCATCAGGTATCAGGTATCAGGTAATCCGTGCAATATCAGTGAGGTAGAGCGTTGATTTGTGTCCAATGAAGTACCTTCTTTATGAAGTCGGTTAAAAATTATTTCGTTTTGATGAGCATAATGCCTGACTGACGTGTAAGTATGAAGAAGTCATCCATTAAAAGGTTTTTTCTTCATAAAAATATAAAATAATAAAACATCTGCAGAAATAAATACTTACTTTGGCAGAGATTTAAATCTCGGACATAAGGATAATCTCAACGTCCATAATTTGCCTAAAGCATAATGCTACACGTATCTTTATCTACCTAAATACCTACTATACTTAGCTGGAATGAACAGGATGTAACCAAAACTTAAGCGTAGGCTACACTATGTTTATAAAGAGATTGTTTAGTTTCAATGCAATTGGTCGCAGCAGCCGGCCCAAGGATTTTTATGCTTCTCAAATGTTTACGCCTGAGCATATTCAAGCAACGCAAATGAAGAGTAGGTTATATTAACTACGACTTATTTTTTATATTATTGGACAATAGGACTTAGTTTCATCGATATTTATAGATGCTTTAGTCACCTCCTTATTTACAAACAAAAACTAAAAATGTGCACTGTGCACCAAACAATTCTATATTTGTAGATATTTTGCATAAGAATAGCCACAAAGAATAATAATTTTTAAATGTGAACGCCTCTCACATACAAAATAAGAAACTTGAGTCTGTTAGGAACGTTGCGGTCTAATAGGGAAAATGGAAAGCTATACACCTTTGACGACCAAAAACAACAACTAAGTGGAAAATGTGTCATCCATTTCTTTATGTTATAAACAGAGACACGTCGGGTGAAAAAATACTCTGTTAGCTCCTGCTAACATTTTTCTAAAAAGCAAATTGCTGGCTTTATATATCTCTTAAAACGTATCAGCATTCTTCGACTTACTTTGTAGGTGCCTTATTATAACATGTTCTGTATTTAAAAACATGTCGCACCTTCGGTAGAACAAGGGCACAATTGCACTTTTTGCAATTTTACAGGAGAGCTATTTTAAGATTTTTATTGGATTTAATATGGTCTAGCTCTGATAATATTCCTGTAAAGTGGTCCTTACAGGAATATTATCAGAGCTAGACCATATTAAATCCAATAAAAATCTTAAAATAGCTCTCCTGTTAAATTGCAAAAAGTGCAATTGTGCCCTTGTTCTACCGAAGGTGCGATGTGTATTCTATTGGTCTATAAAGCTCGTGTTAACAAAGCTTTAACCCTGTCATTGCCCCTTAGTGCATTATCTTAAGGTAGAGTTTACTTTAGGTGTCGCTTAAGTCTGTTATTTGAACCTTTCCACGAAATAGAGTTTTAAATCTAATTAGAAAGCTCGTCATTCCTACTAAGATACATATCTACATAAATATTTGTCGTCATACCTTGTTAACACTTAACCAGAATCTGTTGAAACTGTATAGACATAATTTCGCGGGTGTGTGTCTACCTATTGCTTGTAAGCAATTGCAGCAGAGAAACGAATTTGTATTGGATGTATAGTCAAATATCATCTTACACGTAATATGTGATATTCGAAACTTGATTTGCATGTATTACCAAGAGATGCAGTTCAGACGCGGTTCAATGACCACGCCCGCCGCTACTTTCGCTACAGATACATAATCATCAGCTACGTAGGTATACAGTTACTCATAAAGCCTTCGGATGATTGGCGCCGATCGCCGCCGACCTCTGACTTATCCCTCCTCTTCACTCCGAGTGTTCTCTCGAATATTGCAATTCCACAGGTTGCTCCATCGGCAGACGCAATGAATCGCGCTTCGGCCATTTCATTTGCGTTTTTGTTGCTTTGGAACTCGCAAAATATCCGATGCTACAATCCGTCTATTCACTCGAAAGCTTCACTTTGTTCTTTGTGAATGAACATTTAGCAAAAGCCGTAAAAGGTTTTTACTTTAGAAGTATTGGAGCTTTAGGACTTTGTATACAGTGATTGATCCATACAAGCAAGTACCTACCTATTATCTCAATCAATACTGTAACTAGGTATTCGATTGCGGACACCAATATTAGGAGTTGCAACATCAAACGCTACTGTTTAACTAAGTTATATTCAGTTAATTGACCTTGCACTAGTTTAAAGCTTCAAAGGGCAGCATAGAAATGTGGTAACTTAATATGCCAATTGAAACAACCTTAGGTCGCATCCCGAGTCCGCAGCTCGAATCGCGATAAGTAACGTTATTAGAGTCTGCGCGCTTTGCGTCATCGGCGGATTCAAGGTGAGCCGGTCCGCTGCGCCGCGCGGATGATCCACGACTTGGTCCCATTCGTTTGCTGCAAGCGTGTGACAACCGCGCGAACGCGAACATTCGAGACCAAATTAAGCGATTGTCCAATTGCAACATCACGATTCTTCTATGACAAATAAAAACAACATCTCTAAGTACCTATCCTCTCTGCAAATACACGGATGACGGCTTTAAGTATTATAATCGAAATTCTCTGTGCTAGCAAAGCTAGCAGCCAGAGTGATTTAACTTGCGGAAAAACAGAAAACCGTAATTTACATAATTACACATGCAAAGATACATAACAAAGATATGATTTAATATTCATGTAGTCGTAGCACATTTAAGTAATTATGCCTAAGAAAATAATGTAATACTTTTTCTGAATTATAACTCACTTCAGCTTGTGCGCCAAACAAAAGTTTAGAAAGTTCCACAAATGTTCTGACTCTCTCTGCTACTTCAGTCGCACAAGGCATGATGGACAAGCCTTGGGAACAAACTTCAATTGGAAGACAGTCACAATAGATTACAAGTGATTGCACAGACTTTCGGGACCTAAAGGGCAAACTTGCCAAGCAATCAAATTATGTCTGACTAAAACTTCGCTCGTAGCGCAAAGATCTTTTGTTACAAACTACTCGTATCTGCATTTACCTAACCGCAAATGGCTAAGGATGTGAAAAATATAACATTGGAACCTCAATTTGAGGATGTTTAGGTACAGCCAAGGTTAACCATATTTAGGTACCATCGTGCAAAGAAAACAAATATTAGCTAGACGGATTTTCCAGTAGGTAGTCACGGCGAAACATTAAACCACATTAAAATTTTATAGTCTTGTAAGTGCGTTCCTTTTATATTCAACAAACGAAACAAAAGTCTGTTTCAGGTATTGAAATAAAATGAAACTGAAATAATTTAGTTAGTAAATAGGAAGGAGCCAACGAAATGTAATGCAAATAAAAAAGCTTTCACGATTCTTTATAACTTACATGTGACGTAAAACAACTCTTAAATGTCTTTCTGGATTTAACCATGAGTCATCCGTCATATAACTTTCTTTTGTCTGCCTCATTCTATTTACGGACGAAACTCTACATTTTACAATAAACATCCTACCGTATTGGAATTAACAAATTCAGTGAATAAGTATTCTGAATATCACTTACCGCCATCAACCCGTCGTTCCCGTAGGCCCGTCCTTCCAACGCCAGTTCCTTGTCCAGCATAGCGTCCAGCTGTTCCAGCTGGTGGCAGGAGGCGCGCGCGGCCACCCAGCTGGAGGCCAGGATGAACGCGCCCAGGATGAAGGAGGCAGCCACCACCGTCAGCGCCGCGATCCGGGCGATCTGGACTGAGGATGACACGCGCTGGCGGTAGGCCTGGAGGAAAACATTATAGATCATTTCACTGAAATACTTATTTTTTGGGTACGCTATGATTCTGGGAGAGAAGGACAATAAATGCGAACATCAGGCCTCCCCAACCTGTTTGACCCTTGTGGATACTTATATTATTCTGTGATAGTAGATAGTAAGTACTTCTGCCTCTTATTTTGAGAGAGTCATGCTCTGCAGTGAAAACGAAAGAGGTACTATTTTTAACACGCTTTTATTAGGTCGACTTGTAACTATGTAATTTGTACTATATTCATCATCATTTCTTAATAATATTCCCTCCTTACACATCCACCATTCGATTCCATCGGTATTCCACCGACCGAGGAATCGAACCTGGATCTCAGAATCAGAGAGCTAGTCATTTTCTAGTCTAGGTATTCATGCATGGAAACCAAATAAGTAAAGGAACAATCCTAGCAACTCTGATACGTATCAACCAACCTAAGTTAATAAACTGCATAGAACTAAGAATAGGGTAATTGATCATAATTAGCTATGAGATCTGACAAAAGAAGATAGGTACTATTGTGAGTAATAATTATTTATTCACCATTCAAAGTTAACTTATTATCTGCTCGTACTGGATTCAGTACTAAAATACCATCCATTTACCAACTCAATAGATCAAAACGAAGATTCATTTAGGTAACCTCAAAGTACCTATGATTACATAAAACTGCAAGCCATATTCAGTGGGGGCAAAGCGCAGGAGTGAAAGTGCCTCAGCGATTGCACTCGAGAAATCTTTGCATGCCGCAAACCGCCGGCGAATTCGATTTTTACGATTTGTTTTCCTAAAATGCGTACGTTATTAATCCGTTTCATTCAAGCTCAATTCAGTCGGTAGAGTCCAATTTTTGATTCACTTTCAATTTTAACTAACCGATGTTGAAATTGTTGAAAAGATTCGAAAGTGATGAAAAAGGGTCGAACAGTAATTTTATCTAATACCAATATGATGTAACCTTATTGATATACAAACATTTGATACTTTTACTGTAAAATCAGAATGTTAAGCAGAAAGACATTATCGGAAAATTTTCAGTCCCTTACCTACTACAGACATAATACGTAGTATTAATTATCTCTCTCTAATTAAATTATGTCAAAGTATCGTACACTCGGATAATGAAAATAATCTGTAAAGTAAAATAATGTCTTACACAACTTTGCAAGATTTTTATGTGTTGTAGAAATAAATGAAAACCACAATATCAAATTGCTTTGCCCAACCAGTCAATATCTTTTTAATCTGTTCTAATGCAATCCTAGAAAGTAACTTTTATGTTTTTCATTTACTTTTGTATCAGTAAATTAAATTCATGATTACCTAATGTAACCATGGCTGTTAAAGAACAATTTCCTTTTTGGAAAGTCGTTAATCTTATTCGTTACAATTGACTGCTTTTTACAAGTTACTCGTACCTCCACTGAGAGTTAACCTGACCGTGGACCAATATCATAATAATCATTATTCTTGATTCTTCATGAAAATGTAACTTCTTCATGCGCAGTAATGCGCAACGTCACAAATCGACTTAAATGCGTGTAAGTAAGCAAAGTTTTATTTAAAAAACTTATTATTATTAACAACGTTATATACTATAATACTATCAAACAGTTTTCTTCTTTTAAATAATAATTTAGGGATGTTATTGGTGGGTGATTGATGGTGCGTTACTTGTTTCGGTTTATTTGAAAACGTTATAATTATGCTCCCTTTTAATCACGATTTCAAAATCATATGTTGATTTACAAATCGCTCAGGGTTGTCTTCTTCAGACCTGAAATAAAGGCTAAATGCTTAAATGTTTTTCTTGGTAGCTCTCGACGAGATCGTGTATTACAAGTCTAAACATTAAAGTGAAATAACTCGCCTATTAAGTGAAGAATGCTAGTTGACAATAGATATTTTATATCTCTACCTAATGAGCTCTCTAACTAGTTAAGAATTATAAAAAGGCATTATTATTATGTGGATATTGAACATAGCTGTGTTGGTGGAATGACTCAGAATGATCCTATTTATATGTTTGTCGTATTGCTATTATAAATAAAAATCAATTTGGTATGCTATCAGTAGTAGTGACGTGTACTGTATATTTAATGTCTAAGGAAATGTTTATCGTACCTACTTGTACTTACATAGATTGTTGTCTGTGGTAGTGGTAATAGGTAGGTACCTACTGCATATTGCGTGCAGTTTCACATAAATGAATAGGTAATATTCAGGTAGGTATAGGTACTCATCATAGGACTCTACATCGTATTTTATTACCGCATTAGCTAAGGCACTTCCTGTGTTAATAATAGGTAATTTATTAAGAATTAACACAATGCAGTAAGTTAACCCCTAAATTGCTATGATAAAAAAGTATTGCAATTAATTTGTTTTTGAACGCACGGCAAAAACCAAAATGTTGACATGACAAAAAACCCATAAATATTATGATGACCAACAAAAGTTAACACAGCGATGTTTACGATGCGAATATGCTAATCATCGCGCCGGTTCCAGACACACGCCGGTACTGTCCACGCGACAGGCAATTAGAGCCATCGTGATTTGATCGAGTCTGCTCCGGACGCTGCAGGTAGTAGTACCTTATCTACCTACAACCACACTGACTCGTGCTGTCGTGCACTGTTTTGAACGCCCCGTGATCAAAAATATGAGGATAAGAATTTGACACCGACATTAATGGCAGTGGAAAATAAACATTTATAAAACAAATGTAGTTGACCTCTGTGCTCCTAGATTAGGTAACATTAGAAAATCGCAATGTTATGAAGGCGAATCACAAAATGGAATCCATAGCGAATACTTCTCAGACATGATATAGGCCTACTTTTGTTCTGATTATCCCGGTCATCATTTAATCGTTCCAGTGGATCTAGTCAAAATGCACTTTTTGATCGAATCGAAAATCGAATCCGTCAAAACTCCATACAAAAAAAGTGCTTTTCGACCACATTTCGACCGGTTTGCGATTATATTTTGCACTTTGTCTAGATCCACAGGACTCATCAATCAATCGTTATGTACTCTGTCCTCACTTCCCAAAGATCTCTACTTATTTTCTTTCTTCTACCTGATTCTGTAGTCGAGCGCTACATTTCTGTTGAAACAACTTGTGTTATTTGCCACGTTTGTTAACATTAATAGAATGTATCATTAATGGTTTTGTCCAAACTGAATCTTTTAATAATAATCCATATTGGTGTGATAGATCATCTTAAGTTAGATAATATCTATTCAATATTTCGCATTTGTTTGCTAGCAGCAGTCGGACGGACGTCGATTGACATGGCGCATTCGGCATGACGCAACTGCCATTGTGTCCGTTTAGTCAACGGGCCAATAACGATTTCACTCGAACTGTGTCGTTTATTGTTTATCTATTTGTACAAATTCATTGTTATGCTCTTCCTAAAGACAATGGAAGCAGAGGAAAATAGTTTTATGTCAACCATTATGTAGAGAACCGGACACTTCGTTTGCGCGTTATTCAGTATCTGAGGATCAGATTACAGGCCGCCTTAATTCGACATGTAAAAATTCTAGGTCAAAATTTGTTTATACCTACTGTCTTCAAAATCGAAATTAGACATCCATTTCGGACATTCGTCAGATTTAATTAGGTTTTACAATAGCACCTTTTACAATAAACATACTTAGGAGGGAATCTTATAGGCTATAGCACTAAACGGTGTTGCGTGACAGCTCGTAGCAGCTATGATAATAAATGACCAGGGACAATGGAACAATGAGTTTCCCACATTCATACATGTCGTAGTTCTCAGAAAAGGTATATACCTGAAGTTTATCTAAGCACTTGGTCATATTATTTCCGTAATTATGTTGTGTGGCTGTTCATCTTGCGCTTGCGCGTTCAATTAATGTGTTTCTTTTAATTAGGTTTTTTTAATTTTTCCTCTTAAAATGTAATGTAACATAACTAAACGTTTACTTTATGATTTAATTATAAAAGAACATAAACTANGATATTTTCTTCTCTAAACTTGAAGGGTTATTATCTAGGTTGATGAGAAAGAATAGAAAAAAAATAATCATTGCAGGTGACTTGAACATTGATACTATAAGCAAAACTCGACACTCGACCAGGCTAACAAATCTGTTACACACTTATAGTATGACACTTCATGTAACTGCACCTACCAGACTCAATAGATGTATAGATCACATTATTAGTAATACAAAACATGCTATATGTTCGATCCATGATTTTACCATATCAGATCACACCGCCCAACTTGTTGAGTTTAACATTAAAATGAAAAACCCGATTTCACAATGGTTTCAGACTAAAAGGGATTACAGTAGTGAGAATGTTAAAAAATTTCATAATTGTATCACATCTTTGTCATTCTCCAATATACTGGAAGAAACAAGTACTGACAAAGCATTTGACGAATTTCATTCAATATTTTCTTTATTTTATAATTTATGTTTTCCCAAAATACAGGTCAAGATAGTTAAAAAATTCAATAATGCTAGATGGATAACTAAAGGGGTTAAAAAATGCAGCAAAACTAAAAGACATTTGTATAAAAATTATCAATTTGCCAATAAAAGTGACAAACCATTGCGTAAACATGAATATAAAATGTATTCCAGAATTCTACGTCGATGCATTTCTGGTATACAAAGACAGGGGAATAAAAGAAAATTAATTAATTCCAGAAATAAATCTAAAGCAGCCTGGAGTATTATTACATCACATATATCGGACTCAATATCTAAAACAGATATTAGTGAAATTAAATATAATAACGAAACAGTAACACATCCGATTGAAATAGCAAACACTTTCAATAATTTCTTTATCGAAACCACNACTATAATGGTTTTTACTGCTGGGAACTACTAATTAACTTGATTTCTTAATTATAATAAACAATAGACGCTAATTAAATGTAATAAATAAAAACACATCTAATATTAAATCCTAGCGTGACATAAATTAGATCATACTTTTACCGTTAATGAACAAAAAAGAGCTGGTCAGTTTCAAATCTTTTACGTAACATGATGTTGACAGCCGTAGTCTGGTTTTCGCCGGCGACAGTGAGGAAATCGCGGTAAAATTCTACCTTATAGTTCACGTAATTCCGAGTGCTTGCCTAACAAATCGCCTTGGAAATGATCGGTGTGTTTGAACCTTATGGAGTGTTGGCGAGGCCCACTGTTGCTGTTTACAAACACGCTGATACGCGCCAGCGGCCGCGGCCTCAGCCGCTGCAGCCGAGAGAAAGGCACTTTCCCGCACTTACATTGCACTTAGCCGTCAACACAATTATTTCGATTCATTTTTATGATTACACTAATACCCCATGTACAAGATATCTGTCTATAAATTTCTCTACTCTCGCGCTACTTCCTTGCAAGTTGTAGAGCGATACACGACTCGTTTCAATTACTTAACTCACATCGGTAAAGAAAGTCCCTAATAGGTACCCGTAGGTATTAGAATTTATTATAAAAATAGTAAAAATTAAAGCTCCCTTTAACCATTTGCATAGGTATAAAATAGCTGTTGTTAAAAGTTAACTCATAAAATTTTAAGAACTCTTTTTATTTTACGTAGATAACTACTTTTCTTTTTAAACATAAGTCTAAATAACTCTTGAAAATATTTCAAATGTGTAAATGAAAGCTCAAGTCCTATTCTGTGGTTTCACGAAGACATTACGTGCTTAACATAAACTAAGCCGAATAACGGATAGGTATGTCATACCGGTGGCGGTTCCGATGCGCTGTACACCTCGGACGGCGGGTACTCGGGTTTCATTGTGATAGTAGCCATGGAATCTGGCTGGTGCTCCTTCTCCATCACGACCAAATTATCTTCACAAGGGACTGGAGCTTTTTTTGCGTAGCGCGCGCGATCTTTGACGGTCGAAGTAGAAGTGCGGCGAGTGAATGGTGGCTGCTAAGCAGCGTAGGCGCAGCCGTGGTGGGGCCGCCCGGGCCCGCGCCGCGGCCGGCTATTGCGTTCACTTGTTTGGAGACTCGCTGGAGGTGACAAATTCAAGGAACTCTGCATAATACACGAATCAGTAATAGATGCACATGCACAGAAGCATCACCTTCCCTTCAGGTGCTCCTTCCTCATGCTTTCTTATCTTAAAATGTAATTACATAAATAGATTGTAACAAGTTTTGAAACATACTACCTGGATCCTTGGATTAAATAATCTAAGCCTAAAGCCTCTAATGTTAGTTACAAATACGCTTCGTAACCCTACGATACCAAACCAACAGTAGTAATACTTACTACTTAAGTAGGCCTTCCTATTTTTACAATGGTAAGTGGTTATCTCAATCTGGACTACCATGAAAGCGAAGAAAATTTTGGTGGCGATATAATATTAAGAATTTTAAGATGATGCATTTTAACCTAAGGTCTAGAGTTTTATAGGATGATTCATTTGAAGGTACCTACTTTTTTCAAGTCTAAAAAAATGTAATAAAATCCAATTTGTTGGGTAATTTTTATTAGGTACCTACTATACAAAATAACGTTTCTTGACATAATATGATTTTTAAAGATTATTTCTTTCTAATGTTGATCGTAACTCCGGTTAACATAGTCCATTCTGCGGTTCCAATTTTCGATGATGCCTTCCAAATGAATTAATTTAAATTGAAACCCGTTAATTTATTGTAGGTATTTAGAGTTCTAGCTTTTAGGCTTATTTTCGGTCCTTTGATTTTAAATTTTAGTCAGAAAGTAGCTTTAAAAGTCAAAGCACGAATAATTGCAGTGTCGTTACTTTGCATTTACCTACCATTGTAGCTTTAAGCCACGATAGCCGAACGGTGAAGGGGTCGGATTGGTGGCCGACTCGTGATCCAGGGAACGCGGGTTCGGTCCCCGCCACCGATCGACTACTGTGGTGGGCTCACTCGTGACACAAGCATTTAGCTTAGTAGTACGAAGAGCTAACGAGATTATTAGTAATTTGTGCAATTACTAATTACTAATATCTTTATTTAAAAAAATGTACCCTTAGAGAATTAAACCAATATTGTACCTAAATACTAAAATTCGCATTTTTAAAAGCTTTGAAAAATCTTTGAGACTAGTGGCCCGCCCCGGCTTCACACGAGTAAATATGCCTATATAATACTATAATAATAAAATACTCGTACTAGTTATAAAACAAAAAAATTTAAAATTCGATTTTTTGAATTTTACATGTAAGTCCTACCTAGATATAAAGAATGAATATTTACTTCGACCACGACTGCTTACAAAACAGACTTAAAAAAGGAATACAAAATCAAAACGGTACAAATTAGGCGGTCTTATCGATAAAAAGCGATTTCCTCCATACAACCGAAGAAGAGGACAATTTCCCTGGGTCGCGGATAGTCCCAATTCATGGGATTTACCGGTGTAGACAGAAAGTGGCAGATCTCTTCAACTCGGGCAACCCATATAGGGCACAACAATGAGTGTGTGCACATGACAGGATAGTCACTAACCCAAAGCTTGACCCAAAGTGTATGTTTAAAAAAGCTAAACGTCAAATTCGAAATGTCAATTTTGACATCTGTCTGATCAAACGCGACGAAAAAAGTTATTGGTTAGAATTCTCACTGAGGAGTAAACTAATTTTACTAAAAATATTTTATTGTAACTAGTAGTTCAACAAATTACTCGTACAATATGGCTAATTCTGGGAAAGGAACATTTCAACCAGTAAGTTCAACAAATAAAACTCTAACGTGCTGACATAATTCAACGAATCGGAAGATTTTTTTTAGCAACCTGATACTAAAATGTACAATTTCATAAAAATACTTACTTTTCAGGATTCAGACGTACACATATCTTATGAGGATCAACAAAAAATCAATAAATTTGCTCGTCTCAATGCCAAATTAGATGATTATAAAGATGAACTTAAAGTAAGACAGAATGATATGAAAAATTTAGAAGAAGCAGTCGAAGAGTTAGGCCTTGCAGACGATTCAGAGAAAATCCCATATCTTATTGGTGAAGTCTTTATATGCCAAAACTTGGAAGACACTTTAGTAAGTTATTTAAATGGAAAAGTTTGTGCATGACTCATTTTAATGTTGTTTTAGAAATTGGCTTATAACAATAATTTATCGGTTAATGTGGGCAGATAAAACGGCTGAGTATAAGGGTGAAGCTCCATGAACTTCCATATCCTTTCTTAGTTCTTTCTTCAGATGGTTGAGTCTGTTTATCAAGTATCTTGCCCTTATCTGATTGCCACACAGTACCTTATATTTAATTATTCTATAGTTAAGCTATACTAAAATAATTTGTACATATAAAAATATTATTTTATTTCCAGAAATCTTTAGAGGATGCCAAAACTAAAAAAGAAAATGAAATAGGTGAATTGGAATCAAAGTGTGAAGAACTAAAGTCTCAAATGGGAGAATTAAAAGCTCATCTTTATGGAAAATTTGGAAGTCATATTAATTTAGAAAATGAAGAAGATTAAAACAAACAGAATGCAGTTTCAAAAATATTTAATTTAATCTAATTATGTTCTAAGATTGAAAACTATTTAGTTAACAAGTGCTAGATAGTACATAATAGCTTGATAAATATTATGGCATGCTTACATTATTACAGCCAAAACCAAAAGCTTTCTATAACACTAACTTAACTAAGTATTTATATAAGGAAAATATATGTTTAACTCTTTATTGCACACTTAACAAGATACCTAATTACAGTCAATATTTTTCAAATATTTTCAGTGTCTGGTGATAAATAAATATGATGTCAATATACCTATGTTAATAAATAAATCACTCTTCTCTGAATAATTTCAGTATTTTTATTCTGTAAATATTCAAAGTTTGTTCAGAATATTATATTATTTTTTACATGTAGGCCAACCTTATAATTTGTTTGTTTTAGCACATATTGTGTAAAATAATTTAATGTAATATGGCATGCATACCACAGGAAGCTAACTAGAAAATGATTCACAAAAATAATTTGTATCTCTATCTGGATATAAACTTATCAATCTCCAAATTGTCCAGCTGAAACATGCATGAAGAATATCATTAACACATTTACCACACAAACCTGTTTGTTGTGGTTTATCCCTATGGAAAGCAAATGCAGGTGCATTTTAAACAAATTTAAACAGAAATCACAAAAAAAAAAGATTTTTAAATACGAGTTATACACTTTAATTACCTACCTACTTAACCTTTTAGCTGCGCGTTTATGTTTTGTAATACTCCCAAAATATTTATATTTCAAACGTACTTAATTATTAACCAACCAGAAAGTTTCTGACTAAAAATTTTGCTAACACCACAATATGTTGTAGTTGTGTCAATAAAATAAAATGTCAAGTTGACCACAAGTTGACCAGATCAATACTTGGCTTCTGGAGAAAACTCAAACTATTTCATTTGCGTAAAAAAAAAAGAACAATAAAAATGGAAGAATTGGAATTTATTCCACTTTTGCGCCTCGAAAAATTCCATTGGCTCGCGCATTAGATTAAAAATAAAATAGGTACCAGCAATACAGTGGCGGCGTAAGGCGTGGGCGACGTGGGCCACCGCCTACAGCCTCGCGGTACAAGGGGCCTCGCGCATCAAAAATTTTGAAAAAATGTATACAAGGTGGAGATGACAATATCACAATACGACAATAAATTCAAACATTGACTATTAAATATAAATTCTAGATAGCTAAACAATGTAGTTAAAAATAAAAATATATTTTTTTCCAAACAAATTCAGCCATAATCAGACTCAAAATTAAGCAACAACACGGTTTTAAGTGACGAACATTATTCTTTGGCACAATATTCCTTTAAAAATAATCACTGAATCAAGAAATCAGAAACTGTCAATGAATAGACCATTGACCCGTTTTTTTTTATTATTTCATAAAATCCGTCTTCAGGTCGCCACAGAACAAGGCCTCGCGAAATCTGTCTTGCGTGGGCAAGACAGATTTCGCGAGGCCTTGTTCTGTGCCACATCAAATTTAGGTCTTGCCCCGCCACTGCAGCAATAGGCAAATTAATCACACGCTTGTTTTAGTACTTTTACCCACTTGTTCAATTTGTTCCATAAATCTAATGAATGGGCAATGAATAGAATAGGTAAAAGTGGAATAACCTTGGTATTCGCTAAATCAATTATATAATAAATTACAATTAATGCTATTAAAAAGTAGTTTCATATTCATGTAACGTGTTAAACACGTAATTTAAGAGCATAATAGGATTGCTACACGCTAAAAGTAACCATAAAAAAATTAAAATAAATAAGATAAAATTTTATTTAATAATTTTACGATTAACAATAAAACTGGATACTGCACTCGTTACATAAAACTAATACATACTTAGTAAGAAATTGAAAAATTGTATTTTAATAAAATTAAAATATTTGACAATAAAATTAAAATAGGAACTTATTATTAAGAACTATTACATACGTACATAAAACATTTAAGTAGTTACAAGTTTGATTAAGTGACTATAATAATAAAGTTATCAAACTTAAGTACAAATATCGATTGCACATAAATGTGTTTATTTTAGCTACATCACACAACCTAAACCATACAGGCGTCTAAAAACTATATTATACCATTTCTATTGCATTTTGTTAATCTTCTAGATTATATTATACTAGCTTTCCGCCCGCGGCTTCGCCCGCGTGGATTTTTGTGTCACAGAAAAACTTTATCGCGCGCGTCCCTGTTTCAAAAACCGGGATAAAAACTATCCTATGTTCTTTCCCGGGACTCAAACTATCTCTATGCCAAATTTCATCAAAATCGGTTGCGAGGTTTAAGCGGGAAAGCGTAACAGACAGACAGACAGACAGAGTTACTTTCGCATTTATAATATTAGTTGGGATTGTTCATTTTGAATTCAGTAGAATAGCTTAATTCTTTGTTATCAATTAAAAAAAAATAGTTTGTTAGTTAGCGGCCTCATTATTACTAGACAGACATCCTGTATTATGTAAGTATAGCATCTTTTAAAACAGCAGGTACTTTGGCATTAAACAACCAAAATGTCGGTAATATACTTAATAACAATCAAATTACTTATTATCACATTTCCTCTGACTAAAATCAAGAATATTTTGTATAATTTATTATACATTTAAAGTAAATAAAACACAATTTTACAAGGATAATAAAGTTTTTAGTCCAGGAATGACAAGAATTCTCAAGTCAAACAGGGTGGAGATGCCACGAGACAATAAATTTAATTATGTACCTATACATAATAGGTAGTTAGGTGCGCAGGACTATTCCCACCTCTCGTTCGATCCCACCATTGGAACTCCTGTGTAGCCAGGATCTTCAACCAGTGAAGGTCAAGTTTGTCCTGGGGGAAAGTTAAGCTGACATTGGAACAAAAGAACATAGGACTTCGAAGTTAAGGTTCGTAATACATAGGTACAGTCGACAGCACATCATTCTATACATTTTGTAGAAAAGTAGCTCTTGCAATTACGTAAGACGCCGCATTGTTTATCTTATATGGACTGTCGCCTGTATATTATATTGTAATGTCACATCCAAGCTAATTCATCGTACAATACAATACCACCAATACCAAGCTTAGGCTACAATTTTTAATATTTTCTTCCAAAATGTGGTTCTGGAAATATCTTTCAGATACTAATCAATGAATATAAGACCTTTTTGTATAAGGCATGTGTCATAAAAGCGTGTCATCTTAATTTTATAGATTGAATATTATTCGATTGTGAAACCGTTCACCAACAATCGATTGATCAATGAACTACGAACTACTCACCAACAGGATCTTTAACCCATTAACTTTTCGTCCAAAGATCACTTTTTTTTAAATTTCCTCGCCCGAACTTTTATAAAGGTATTTAATTTATTTACATTTATTTCCTTGTTGCTGACTCCACCCTGCTCATTCAATTTAAATACATAAACAATGAATATATTGTAATAGTTACGTGTAACGTTTCACTTTACGTTAGCTATGATCCACTTACATTAGCTATACACCTCTTTGTAAGCTACTACGCGAATTTGATAGTGAACTTGGTTGCAGGCTTTCTTCCTCATCTGTCTCGCGATCGTTTGTTATCCTTATAGCTTGATACCATTGGTTTGTAAGGTCGGTCATTTGGCTCTTACAGTCCTTTAATTCCTGTAATTGTTTTAATTTATTTATCAATTCAATCTTTTCATATAAACTGTACCTTTTTTTTCATGTATTGTTTATTTAAATAATAAGTTCTCTAATAAACAAAGTTACGGTGCGCGCGCACGGGTGACTTTTGTCATCATGACAGTATGCCTCTTTTATTCGTCCAAGCTCTTTTGCCACGGCAACAATGAAGTCACCCCTGAGCGCGGGCTTTTAGTGTGGGGTGCAGTAATCAGTAGAGCAAACATTTTATCTTTCAAATCTTTAATTTCTGAATATTTATTATTTTTAATGTAATAAAAACAAATGACACTAACCTGATGCGTAAATCGTCTGGTGAAGAAAGGAGTTAAATACTTCATATCCAATTTCACAAAGCCTTTTATTCTCGTTGCATGAGAATAATTTACCTGAAAATAAACGATTTTTCATAAAACCTCTGCCATGTCACCGCAGCTGAACGAAACTGCAGAATAAGGGTGAGTTTCTACCAGAGATGTGCGAGGAGCGTAGCGAGGGATATGACTAATCGCTTCATTTACCTCACCTCGGTTCGCATAGCTGAGGGCTCAGTGTGAGTCTACATCAAACGTCACTAGCGAGCGCGTTAAAAAAATATGATGATTTTAGTTCTTGAAAGATTCCACTAGGGGCGCTGTACAATCCATCATAATTTAATGTCACTTTTTTACGCAGTCGACATCGAATGCATTTGACGTGAACTCACACCACGCCCCCTGGTGGAAACGGCTTCTGTGTGCGAAGAATGTGTCCCAGTGATGTGGGCGAGGATGATGTGTATGTGTGCTCCATCAGGAGGCGAGCGATGTTATTAATCAATTGCCTGGTTACGTTTAAACAGTACACGTCTTTGCACGCAAATTCATCTGAGAATGCACATAATATACACATTCTCGTACCGCTCATCTGCGCGCCGTCTTACAGCTTCGCTACACNTACAAATATGTAGCTTTAATTCTAGTGCGTGTTGCATATCGCGCGCGAGACTATGTTGGAAACCAACAAGGAGTTTTTATACTTTTTATTAACTACTTTTTCTTCTAAACAAAATAAAATCACTTCTACTTTGACAGCTCAAGAAAGTTGTTTCATTTCATACATTTTATACATATTTTAATACATTATTCAGTAATACAATAATTAATTTATGTCATAAGCAACACTTATTTTCCTAACATATCTCTGGTCGAAACACCCACACCGTTTCACATATTCGCTATACATCCTCGCTTCACTCATTATGGTAGCAGATTTTTTGTGGAAACACAGACTTAAGCAGATGTTCCTAAGGGCCGTTCCATACTACGCGGCGACCGTTCCGGGCGCAGAGTCTGAATCTGCGTAGACACAATGTCATAGACGTATTTATCATGTGAAGACGTTTTGACGGAAACGTTAGTCCAACCACTTCCGAAAACCTGAGTCGTCTTGGTGGCCGCTCCGTTCCTGAATGGCTGTTAAATAAGGCCTTATGGCATTATATAATGTCATCCGGGCATTCAGCGTTCATAGCTGTTGCGTCACGTAAGAAAAGCGCCTGTTTCATTATCAATATAATAATATAATTTTGTGTGGGCAAGCCCCCCACCACTAGGAGACCGACGATCTAGTGAAGGCCGCGGGAGGTGCCTGGATGCGGGCGGCGCAGGACTGGTCTTTGTGGAAATCCTTGGGGGAGGCCTTTGTCCAGCAGTGGACGTCATTCGGTTGAAACGAACGAATATTATTTTAGAATAAATACCTCTAGTTCTTCCTCAGTTATCTCTGACAAATGTTCAGAATCAATAGCTTGTCCCCATTCCTTAGTTTTCGACAAACTGACTTCTTTCTGTTTGCGCAGTGATCGTGACTTCTTAGATTTTTTGTTTGCCTACAAATAAAATTTAAGTTAAGTTTATAGATGTTTCAGAANTTTCAGGATAGGTAACATTATTCAATTTAGATGCAATTTAATACATACCTGTAAGAAATTCAGTAATGGCATGGTAGATCCCCCAAAGAATAAGGTAGTAAACAGAACTATAATGAGAGTGGTTGTTATAATCACATGTCTAGTTTCATCTGAAAATCCCAGGTGCAGAGACAATGCATAGGAAATAGCTCCCCTTAAACCTGAAAGCAGTAAAATATGAATTTAAACCAAATTATTAACATTATTTATATTTTGAGTAGTAAAAAATTGGATGTATTTCCATGGTAAGAATCTAACCCAAAACTTCACTCAAATTGGGTTGGATCTTTTTCATGGATATGGTAAGTAATTGAATACTATCATTTTATGAAATTGGAACTGAACTTACCACTAAACCACATTATGAACATCATTTTTTTGGTAATTTTATGCTCTCGGAATTTATTGCATAACAATGCAAGAGGAAAGATATTGGCAGCTCTCCCGAGAAGACACATCACTATGCTCCATACAACAAGTGCCGGTTCTACACGATGTTTAAAACTGAAACAGTAAATAAAAATATATTCAGTTGACTGATATTATTTATCACAACTTATATGACTGACATAATCTGACCATATTTTCTAGTAACAGATTTCATATGCCTAGCTATATGTATAGATTTCATATGGTTTAACTAGTTAAATTATTTAAAAATTATACAAACCTGAAAATAGCCAGTCCCAAATATGCAAAAACACAAGTTTCAGCAATAAAGGCCAAGGTTCTCATTGTTTGTTGCATAGTAACTTGAGTAACTGTTGATAAGTTGAAATGAGTGTAATGAGACATTACAATCCCACAAAACAATATTGCCATTATGCCTGAAAAAAAAACCTAGAAATCATTCCTGACCATAACTATAGTATAATTTATATTCTATGCATGCACACCTTTTTTTATGTGCAATAATAATAGACTAAATGACTCACCTGATAAGTGAATGCCCTCAGCTAGAACATACGGGGCATATGTAAAAACTAACATCATTCCAAATTCCAGTGAAGGATTTTTCCGTAAGTCAACATGTTTCAGTAAAAGAGCACTGACAAGAGCAAACAGAACTCCAATCCCAGCAGATGCAAAAAACATTAGCCAAAATCTATTAATAGCTGATAAAATAGCTTCTCCTGTTGACATAATGGGATCATTGGAACCTAACACTGCAGTGGTCAGGACAATAGCCACAGCATCATTAAGAATACTCTCACCAAACACTAACATGTTCAGGACAGGGTCAACATCCAGAGCATGGAAAATGGCCACGGTAGCGACAGGGTCTACGGCTGATATTAAAGACCCAAAAGCAAATGATTCCACAAAACTTAATTTGTACACAACTTGTGCCAGGCCCAGTAAATATATTCCAGCTCCAATCACAAATGCTGATATTGCTGTGCCAACTATAGCAAATAATAATATTGATCCAATATTTTGAAAGAAATTACCCTTATGAAGATTATAGCCAGATTCAAAAATAATAGGTGGTAACAATACCAAGAAAAATGCTGTAGGGGAAAATGCTTCTTCTTTCCTCCAATTTGCTATATTTTTAATGGACATAAGATTAATAATCATACCAATAAGTGCACCTAGAAATACTATAACAACACTTTCTGGTAGATATGAGAATCCAGTTTGCAACATGAGATGAATCAGTAGTATTCCCAGGGCAAGTATGCACAGCACAAAAAATATAGACATAGAACTGTTGTGCTCATCTTCTGCTGAACTTTTTTCAGGCAAAGGCGCGGCATCAGAGGGACTAGGCATTGACGCATTCGGTGTTGCTGATGATGACGATGCATTCACTTGAACAACTGCTAATATTGATGAATCTGATGGTCCGACTTCATAGACAATATGGGAGCTTTCAGTTGTAGATGTAGATGTAGAGGAAAAGGAAGATTTTGATATTTCGGTCATTGAATTTGGTTCGCTAGAATTACTATCGCTTAGCCTTTTTGACCTTGACAGTCTTTCACCAGAAACATTGCTATCCCAAGCAACATTCTTAGGCTTTGTCTGAGATGTATCGTCTGTTAATTGCGTCGATGCAATATCTCCATACGTGAATCCCACCAAAAAGAGTAAAATAATCCATGAAAACTGTTTTTCAACATACATATTTGTGAAAGAAATAAACCCGAGGTTTACAAATGACACTGCTTGTTTGCTCTTCTAAATCGACTGTAAGATGAATCGTTAATAAATTATTTACAAACAAATAGCACTAACTAAACTATTGTAGATGGATATTTCCAATTTCATGTTTCCATTTTCGAGAAAAATACAATTGATTGATACAGAAAGAAACTGTCAAAAATAGCAGCTGTTTCCATTATTTGACAGTTCTAAGACATTATAAATATTCGATTGAGCACTAACCGATTATAGATGACCCACGCTGAACTGTCCCGCCAAACTCAATGACAGGGGGGCGCTACCATCGTTCAACTATATGGTTTCCAACATGGCAAAAATCTGAACCAGCGATCCGGTATTGACGGTGGCGCCCCACTGTCAATGTCATCGACAGGACAGTCCAGTATTTTTGAACTATATAGTTCCAAAATACTGAACTGTCCTATCGATGACATTGACAGCGGGGCGCCACCGTCAATACCGAATCGCTGGTTCCGATTTTTGCCATGTTGGAAACCATAAAGTTGAACGATAGTAGCGCCCCCCTGTCATTGAGTTTGGCGGGACAGTTCAGCGTGGGTCATCTATACCAAGTTTTTCTTCGCTTCGCCACAGATTCGCAGTCTCGCAGTGCGATCTGCGAGTACGATTCTCGCACAAGACACGTTGCACTTTTTGATCGAATCGAAAATCGAATCCGTTCATACAAAAAAAGGCCTTTCGACCATTTTTCGACTGGCTTACGATTATAATGTGCACTTTGTCTAATGCCAGGATTTATAGTCATACGATTTCAACTTGAATAAGGCTATTGCAAATAAAAATTATAACAGAAACAAAAAATAAATTAATTGTATTTTTTCCTACATCACTAATCATCTCATAGACGTCATTCAAGTTTTCCTACGTTCATGACATTTTAGATTTTTTCTCTCTTTCTTACATTGGTAGATTACAATCATTCTAAACTCTTCTAGTGCCTTTTTTACAATTGATATGTGTGGTGTTATTTGTGGTAGTACGGCTTTCTTGACTGTAAATACGCACACACACACCACACACCTTTTGCTTGTTTGCAAGAATAGGTACTTGCTCAGTTGGGAGACTTTTATTTTTAGTTAATATTTAGTACAATGGATTCAGCTTTACGTGAGCAAGTTATGATAAATCAATTCGTGTTAGCAGCAGGATGTGCTCAAGAACAAGCTAGACAGTTGTTGCAAGCTGCTCATTGGCAATTTGAGGTAGATTTCATAATATATGTAAACAAACAGTAATCATGAAATGGCTGCTTTAATTTGTGTTTTGCAATATTTGGCCTCCAGCCTTTACTGTATAGTTGGTGGTATTTATGGTGATGTTCTTCCGACATTATTTATTGCTATTGATTGTTCATAAAATAACTTCATTCTAAACCTTTATTTATTTACTTATCAACAATGCCTACAAAATACCTAACCATACATACCTACTATACAATACAGGTTATCGCGATAAATACGCAATAGTGAACATTTTGCCATAACATTTGAACATTATCATTGAGATTGTATGTTCCAAAAAATACCTATTTATGTAGTTGTCAAATTGCTGAAAATGATTTTTAAAGCATAAAGTCTAGTATTTTTTTTAGGTATTCTAACAAAATGTTAAAGACCCAGCTCTGTTTACTACATATTCATTAAAATCTCATTGTAACATTTATTTATATCGTGCTGCAGCCAGTTTCTAGTGTTTCCTGGTACTTTGTGATAGCCAATGTGGGAAACCTGTAGATAAGAAAATTTATTTATTAATCATTGTTGTTCTATTTGAAGAAGGAAATTATTCCCTCATTTTATGCTAACTTATTACAAGGCTCATAAAATCTTATCAAATTCTTTGACCCACATAAAATTTATAACTTAGTTTTGCCAAATTGTCCATTGATCTTTTACATCATTTAAAAAGTAAGACCCAAACTAATTTGTATAAAATAGTCAATAGAACACTGGCAATTTTTCAAACAAATACATTGAAATAACATTGACACTATATTTATGAATCGATTACATGTGTAGTTTAAAGAGTTAAATTTCTGCTTGGGCCAATTTTTATCATATGAAATATATTTGCAGAATTGCCATTTTCAATAGTAGGTACAATATAGTCCATTCAGCGTAAGAAAGTGATTATGACAGTTCTGTTTAGTGAGGCGCTTCTTTTAAACCTAATCGATATTTTTTAGAATCGAGAATATTTTCTCAAGAAATCTAATCGACTTTTTATTTGTTTAATTTTTCATTTTATCTACGAAAAATCAAAATTACATCTACGAATTTTAATTATCTGGATATGGAATAAATGTTGTTACACAATAAATCACAAAAAATCAAATATTATGCATTTTATTCTATTAAAACAACAAATAACAAACAACTCGTAGAGAAATCGCATAAAACATAACCGGCCATACAAGGCAAACGCACACGTACTGACTGACCTTTGACCTGCCTGAAAGAATAATTGTGATTCGATGGTGAGATAACCACCATACCGATTTTGATTGGTCGCGATTGTTCATGTCCATCCCTATGAGCAAAAGTTCCGATTAACGCATTATGCATTTCATGTAATATTTTTTCACAAATTTTAATAAATAATAAACTAATAAGTATTTGAAATTCTTGTTTAGGTTAATTGAGAAAGATTATTAATTGTTGTTTTGGAAGGATGAAAGCAACACACACACACACACACACACACACACACACACACAAACTCTTTCCCTTTCTCTCACACTCTAATAGGTAGGTATATCAAATTTAATCGTAAAGTAACAATCACTACTGTGGTCTAGTGGTAAGACCACCTATTTAGGACAGCCAATTCCTCTGTGGTTTAGGATTCCGGGTGAAGCTCGCTGATCATCCATCAGTTTCCATCAGGTCAGATGAAGGGCAAGAGCTTCCTCGTTGTGGATAAAAAAATGTTCTGTTCAGTTATTGTCTCTAAATGTGTTCTACGTAACGTAAACTTAGGGGATTGCAAACATTAGTTAGTCCTAAGAAAGTCAAAAACATGTAACGGAATCTCCGACTTACCACTTTAGTGGAGCGATCACAGAAAATAATAGCCTATTAAGTACATGTTTTTTTGTGTTATTATGAAAGTTCAGAAAACTGCGCAGTTTTTAAAATTATTTTGGAACTTTGGAAGTTCTTTTTTTTTTTAAACTTTTAAGTAGAAAATTTTAGAACGTTCTGCTAAAAGCATATTTTTTATGTTTCTAGCAAAAATTTTGTATCTTGCATCAAAGATAGGAAGGTGATTATTTTTTTCAAAAATCTGCAATTAATAGGGAATCTTTTTTTTTAGGTATTCTAACAAAATGTTAAAGACCCAGCTCTGTTTACTACATATTAATTAAAATCTCATTGTAACATTTATTTATATCGTGCTGCAGCCAGTTTCTAGTGTTTCCTGGTACTTTGTGATAGCCAATGTGGGAAACCTGTAGATAAGAAAATTTATTTATTAATCATTGTTGTTCTATTTGAAGAAGGAAATTATTCCCTCATTTTATGCTAACTTATTACAAGGCTCATAAAATCTTATCAAATTCTTTGACCCACATAAAATTTATAACTTAGTTTTGCCAAATTGTCCATTGATCTTTTACATCATTTAAAAAGTAAGACCCAAACTAATTTGTATAAAATAGTCAATAGAACACTGGCAATTTTTCAAACAAATACATTGAAATAACATTGACACTATATTTATGAATCGATTACATGTGTAGTTTAAAGAGTTAAATTTCTGCTTGGGCCAATTTTTATCATATGAAATATATTTGCAGAATTGCCATTTTCAATAGTAGGTACAATATAGTCCATTCAGCGTAAGAAAGTGATTATGACAGTTCTGTTTAGTGAGGCGCTTCTTTTAAACCTAATCGATATTTTTTAGAATCGAGAATATTTTCTCAAGAAATCTAATCGACTTTTTATTTGTTTAATTTTTCATTTTATCTACGAAAAATCAAAATTACATCTACGAATTTTAATTATCTGGATATGGAATAAATGTTGTTACACAATAAATCACAAAAAATCAAATATTATGCATTTTATTCTATTAAAACAACAAATAACAAACAACTCGTAGAGAAATCGCATAAAACATAACCGGCCATACAAGGCAAACGCACACGTACTGACTGACCTTTGACCTGCCTGAAAGAATAATTGTGATTCGATGGTGAGATAACCACCATACCGATTTTGATTGGTCGCGATTGTTCATGTCCATCCCTATGAGCAAAAGTTCCGATTAACGCATTATGCATTTCATGTAATATTTTTTCACAAATTTTAATAAATAATAAACTAATAAGTATTTGAAATTCTTGTTTAGGTTAATTGAGAAAGATTATTAATTGTTGTTTTGGAAGGATGAAAGCAACGAGATTGATTTTTATACCTCAATATTTTTATTCTTAGGAAGTTGGATTCATGAAAGTCATGAAACGTAATGTTTCAACTGTCTAAATCACCATCATAAGCTGAATGAACTATAGTAGCCACAAAATTTTATTAGCTGATGTTAAGAATAGGCAATGGTCAAGTTCTTAAGAGAAAATAGATTTTTTCTGAAATCCCAGTTATAAAAATTAACCCAGTTTTTTTGATTCCAGACGGCACTTTCAATATTCTTCCAAGAAGTTGCCATTCCTTCTGGAGCTAATGGCATTGCAGCTCCACATTATCGTCAGGTATTGTCTTAAAATTTAATTATTATGTTTGTTGCTCATTGATATAAAAGTGCATGAAAAACTTGAAACAAAATCCCCATTCTTAAGATTTTGATGCATGTCTAACAATTAAAAAAATATCCATGTATCCATCTAGTATCCTAATTTGTAACAGGGCCATCCTTACATAAGGTAAAAAAAGAAATCTCTACATTATAGGAATTTTTAGTGATTACATAGGTACTAATAATAATATTTATAGGCATAGCTGTGCATTAACTCGTTAATCCGTTAATCGTTAATTAACGAAGTTAACATTTCTATTAACGGATTAACTTTTAAGTTAACTTTAAAAAACGTTAACGGACTCGTTAACTTCCGTTAATTTATCCTAAGTCCGTTAATCGTTAATCCAGTACCTACTATTTACCAAAAAGATACAGCAGACACGCTGTAAAACGCGTTCTGACAAGTACGTTCGGGCTTCCAGAACTTCCAGAACCCAAAACAACAGTTTTTGTAACCAGATCACTGATGCAACGATATAAAAAATGCACTTTTTTGTTATTTATTTACTTACAACTGAATTTAAGACCAGTTCTCCTCAACTAATTGAGCTGAAATTTGGTATACTTATGTAAGTACGATGACAATGCAATGTTATGGTACCATTGAGCTGGTCTGATGATGGAGTCAGGAGGTGGCCATAGAAAATCCTAAATGAAACTGCGGATTCGCATCGAATTTTTGTTCGTTGGATTTGTCTTTTCGAGCACTTTAGTACTAGATGATGTCCAGGGTCCNTTTGCGTGGAACTCAAACATAGGCGGTGCCGTTCTTTTTGTATATGGCCAGGTCTGGGATATTTTAAAAAAAGGTTACAAAATTTTACTAAAAAAGAATCTTGAGTGACCCTAGCTGAAACATTAAAAACTACTAGATTAAAAAAATGGATCTGTCAATAGCACTGGATCAGGGCCCCGATTACGCTAAAAATTTTCATCTTCAACATGCCCGGACGACGAACGAACATCAGCTGTTTTGACAAATCCGTATCGCAGTGTCGTTTTGACAGCNCATTGGTTTTGTCTCATATTTGAGGAATGTATCATGAGTAGAGTCTTAGTTTAAAAGGATGGCAACGATTTAAATTTCAATAGGTAGACAAAATTCATTATCAAAAATTTAAGCTTTCTCCAGTAACACTGGTATTATTATACTGTGACTCATCAAAGTCATCATTGTCAAAAATATTGACATATCGAGAACTGTCACGGCCAAAAAACTGGCACGCGTCCGTCCTCCGTAAGCGCCACCGCGCGACTGATTGAGACAGTGTTGCCAGTCGGGTCTAGTCAGAAATTACCAGAAATATAAAAAAAAAGTAACCTTTTTGAATAAAAAGTAACCTTCATACTGGGGGGGTGCGGAGCGATGATTGTGTAAGGTTGTTCATGGATGGAAAATGAATACAATTGATCATCTAAATTCGAAAAGTGACCAGTCGTATAAAAACGTTCGCTAAAACTAATTTTTTTTAACAAATAATAAATCAAATTCAAGTTTAAATGCACTTTATGACATAATTTTTAAATTGTCACTATTAATATTTTTTACTGAATAACCTGTAAAGTTAATTCTACAATTTCTGAAAAATCACCTAAAAGTAACCTTTTCATTAGTGTAACCTAAAAGTAACCACAGCAGTTCAAAAGTAACCTAAAAGNAATGTTCTGTTCAGTTATTTTCTCTAAACGTAAACTTAGGGGATTGGAAACATTAGTTAGTTCTAAGAAAGTCGAAAACATGTAACGGAATCTCCGACTTACCACTTTAGCGGAGCGATTACAGAAAATAATGGCCTATTAAGTACATGTTTTTTTGTGTTATTATGAAAGTTCAGAAAACTGTGCAGTTTTTAAAATTATTTTGGACCTATGGAATTTCTTTTATTTTTTCAAACTTTTAAGATGAAAATTTTAGAATGTTCTGCTAAAGGCATATTTTTATGTTTCTGGCAAAAATTTTGTATCTTGCATCAAAGATAGGAAGGTGATTATTTTTTTCAAACATCTGCAATTAATAGGGAATCTGTAAAAAAAAAGAAATCTGAGAAAAGTCGTCCCAAAAAGAAGATAATTTTTTTTAAAGCCTACTAGGTCATAAAATTTGAAAATTCACAAAATTAACGATAACGTCTAAACTTCAAAAATCGTAGAACTTACATGGGGGTGAAATCGATAGGTCTAGTCCTCACCTATCACCTGCCTTCGGTTTGACACCTTACAAGAAACACCCTGTATTTGAACCTTGCATATAATTACATTTTCGTTTTATTGTCACGTGTTAACGGATTAACGATTAACGTTAACTTGCGTTAAGTCTTCCGAAATGTAACGTTTTAACCTTGCATATAATTACATTTTCGTTTTATTGTCACGTGTTAACGGATTAACGATTAACGTTAACTTGCGTTAAGTCTTCCGAAATGTAACGTTTAACGAAGTTAATTTTTTTAGTAACGGTTTAACGATTAACGAAGTTAACTATTTGATTAACGGTGCCCAGCTATGTTTATAGGTCACCTAAAATGTTTTTTGAGAGAACAGCCGGGGCCACCTCCATCATCATGGAACCCTGGGCACGTGCCCAGAGAAGGAAACAGGAGCCTATACAGGAACAAACAGCAGTTTTTATCATCGACCTGTTGCATTTATTTTATGAAATAACATCTTGATCGTGGGGTTCCTTTTAAGGAGTGGCTTGGCCCCTGATATGCCATGTCACATATCAGGGGAAAGGCCCCCCCATTTCTGCGATTAGTATCATAGCTCATGAGTTAGTCTTAGTACTATCAACTATCACTCCTCAAATCAGTAGCCCAACATCTTGGGGGGGCGCCGTGCCACCCTAGCCCGCTAAATACGCGCATAAGTGCCAGAAGGAAAGAGGAGCGTGTACCAAAGAAGTTTTTACCAGTAGCGGCGTAAGGGGGGGCGGTCCGCCCCGAGTGCCAAGCATCAGGGGGACAACAGTCGCGCAGATTAAAAATCCTGGGGGGCACAAGACCATTCTGGGGTGCCTTACCCCCCCGGCTATATGTCTACCCAACTTACATTATGGACTTACGCCTGGGGGAATCGCCCCGGGTGCCAACCCACGCTACGCCGGCACTGGTTTTTACCATCGACCTATTGCATTTCAGCAATTGATGACGCCATGCAACACACCAGCGACGCCGCCGAACTTCCCTGACGCGCTCGCCGCGTTCTCCCGGCTGTCCACGACGGGCAGCCCGGGCACGGCGGGCGGGGGCGCGGCGGGCGCGGGGGGCGCGCCGCCCGTGTCCCCGCTGGCCACGCATCCGCCGCCGTCGCACTCGCACGTGCCAGTCAACGCCTTCCCGCCCGCTCCGAACCCGCAAACGAATTACGCATCGCTTTCCTGCTCAACTGCTGTGAGTATATCCCTACCCTACAAATATTATAAATGCGAAAGTCTGCGGCGCTTTCATACCTAAACCACTAAACCGTTTTTAATGTAGATAGTTTAAGTCCCGAGAAAGGGCATAGGATTGTTTTTATCCCTGTTTTTAAAACGGCGACGCGCGCTATAAGGTTTTTCTCTGACAGACATAATTTCACGCGGGCGAAGCGAGCTTGTCTACTATATTGGCAAATATTCATTCTTACACCCCCTTGGCAGTCGTTGTACTTCACCCATGAATGTCATAAGAGGTGACTTAGAGTAGAAATATGTGAACTGGTGTTCTCCAACTCATCTGGGCAGTCAAATTGTCTATTAGCCTCTGGAAATTAGAGGGTAGTCCTCCTGCAGTGGAGGAGACTAAACGACCCGATGGTAGTCCATGTTCTCCCGAACCATGTCTCCAGGATGACTGACGGTACAAGTTTTTTTACACTTTGATTCCATTGCGAACTATATTATAGCCTAGCTGTGCGAATTAACAGAAATATGCTCTGCTAGCTAACTTAAAATCTGTTGCCCTTACTAAGTAAACATAATTCCATGGAAGATGTTAGGACGAGAAACGGTGGCTGGGGTTTTTTTATTCGTCTTCCGTGGTGCTATTACTAATTAGTTATTCTGCGGTAGTGGTGACAAAGCACTCGTTACAACTGGAAAAAATTGTGTTAAACGACACAACCGGCGATAGCCACGCAAACCACTACTGGGAGTAGACAAAGAAATGCCCATAAATTATTTTAGAGCATTCGACCTAATATCATATTTAAGAGTCCACACAAATAGATAATAAATAAATAACTTCATGTTTAGCACAGATTCGTATGCAAATGTCACCCATAAAATGATTAAACTGGTTATATTAATATAACGCTAGTAGTTAAATATTTCATGTATAAATAAAATCTTAGGTAACATCAGGAAAAAAACAAAGACAGTCACTTCATTTATAAAGCATTTTACGTCATAAAATGTATTAAACAGGTCTCAATTAAAAATTATTTATTCTTTGTTGCAGGTGTGCAGTGAACATATGCCAAGATAAATTGGAAATATTAGTTTAGGAGCATCTATAATTTATTTTTATAATGGTGCGCATTGTGAGCTGTGGAATTGTGTATGAAAATGTAAAATAATATTTCACAAACACCCCACTACAGCGACAATTAGCTGGACAATATTAGGGGTGCTGTAGTCAATCATGTTATATGTAAGTAATTAATGAAATATTGTATGTATTTAATATTTATGTATAAAACAGTGTTTTCTGAAAAAATATGCACAATTAACCTATGAAATGTGTAAGTTTTCGTTAATCAAATTTACCTGTGATTTTACTTGTAAAAAATCATATAATGAATCGGAATCATGTTATACAATCAAGTGACTGTAAATTAGATCAAACTATGTATGTATCAGAATTGACAAAAATATTTTCTTTAGCTCATAATATTATGTTGGTTGTCGTAATTCAACCATTATCAAGTTGTATAGCCATTTTTTTAGAATGCTATATTATTTATATTCAGTGTGTTTAAGTATAACGACTCTTAAAAGACAATACAATATTGTTAAAAAAATACTACATTTGATGTAAAAGTTTAACTAAAAAAAAAACAAAAATACTCGTCTCGAATTCGATTTGGTTGCGACTATTTGACGATGGGTCGGTAAAGTGTCTGTGCTCAATCCGAGTGGAGAACCTTGCGAGGTACGCACGTCCGACCCCTTGTAGAGGAAAGGGATACACCCGTTGTAAATTGTGTGTACAAAGGCAGCCATCAAATGCAAAGTTTAATTTGTGCATCAAATAAATATCACAGACCGCATCAAACTTATAGTCCTTTTATCAGATACATATTGATCGTCTTTGCAATCCACTGCTACTCGAAAGACCCTCAAATCTCGATTGATCTCTAGCAAAAATAGAGTTCTATTCAGTAAACTCTTGGGCTATAAACTTCGTTTATTCCCGATGTCCCCCACTATTTGTCGTTTTCTCCATCTGAGCTATGAAAAATATTTCTCGTTCTTCCATTTATACCTACCTAAAGTAATGTACGCAAACTGAACTAATTAGCCATTTATTTGAAAGAGCAACTGTATAAATTAACGAACACATTAAAGTACCTACGCAATCTGAAACTAAGATGCATGCATTGGAGTGTACCCTGAATATTAACATTTTCCTCATATGGATTGAATCCGAAGCCGTTGCAAAGTCATGTTAAATATAAAGAAGTAGAATAAGACTTACAATAAAAATTTAGTATGATATATCTCTTTTTTTTTCGTATCTGGAAGGGTAAAGCTAGAGAGTTAGCTTACAGTTTTATTTGTCAAACACGTAACATGTTAAAATATTAATCTTTATTTGTAACATGATTTTAAAATCTATTCTATCTCAACATGCTGCGCGCTGTAACTGCCGAAAGGATCACTCAATACACATACATATTTTGTGTATGTATGATTCTGTATTTGCTGTTGTTACTTAAGAGACGCTACGCTATCTATACGTTAATACCTGAAATGCTCTCTTATACCTACACTACAGATTATAACGGCAAGTCAAGTTGCCGTTATAAGTCGTAGTGTGCGACGGGCCTTATTTTAATCGATTTTTAAATGGCTTTAGGTGGCTTTAGACTTCACATTCGGCACTCGTGCGGTTGCCCGCGCTTTTTCAAAGTATAATTTTAACTTTGCGCATTTTTGTGATCTTACGTAAGAACTATCGATACTCCCTCCAACCCCCTTGTAAGAAAAAATGCTGTCCCTCCCCCCCTAGTCTTACGTAATAATTATATGAATGGCCCCAAAAGAATAAACACCTTTCAGTCTTTTTCTAGGGCAGTGGTTTGCATATACCTAGTACATATGATTAATTTCTTTACCTGATTATTATAATATGGTAGTAATTAATTTGATGCGCGTATTGTTAATACCAAAGTTACGAAACTAACTTTACAATACAGTGGTGCAAATATCAAACTTATCTGCGCATTTTTGTCTAATCATGTTTATGTATGGCCAATGGAATTATTTAGATGTAAATTCGCCCTAATAAGACCTCGCTAACGGTGCGTGAAAAGCTATGTTTAGCGCTCAAGTTTTGAGTGTAATAAAGCGTTATAACGAGGTATTACTCGTTTTTGGCGTTTGCATGTAAACACTTACGCCTGGTACCCCTTGCCAGGCAGAAAGCGTGTCTGGTCGTGAAATTCAAGAAACACCTGCTCTGAATTTCACAGCCATTAACTGATGGCAATCATCAATTACTTTAAAAACCATTAGGCCACGTTCATGTTAACGAGCTTTGGTGCGAAGCTCAAAGCTGGGTGTGAAACAATTCTTAGGTACCTACTTTATGATACAAATGGTCACCCAAACATGGCTGTTTATACCTCGCTTTGCGCTCCTCTAAATCTAAGCTCTCGTATCCATAAATGCCTACTTACATAGCCAAATAGATATCTAAATTAGCACCACTGTACAATTTTGGCAAATTAAATAAATAAATAAAATTGTTCTCTGACGAGTTTGTGGTCGGCACTAAAAGCTTAGCACTTCCAGCCTATCAAACCTTGTAGCTTGAGGATTTTGGGGACACAAAATCTATATTAGGTATTACAATATTTTTGAAATCTTAAAAAGTTTTAGCTAGGTAGTGCCCCAAATTCCGCAAGCGGGTAGGTTGTTCACGATTACTTTTTTGCATAATTCCTGCCGACATTTGTTCATTCATTCATTCTATTTAGTTTATTTATGTCTTGTAATATTATGTTCGAATGTAGACGTTTGAAAGCTCAACTGCATGAACATAATAAATTCTGATGTTAAAATTGTAAAAATAGGTTTATTTCGTTATTAGTGACTTTCAATATTACTGTTGTATAGAACTGTTGGGAATACTCGAAAATTAAATAAAAATTTCAGCTGCAGCCTGTAGTATTAGTTTCCAGGACTATTTGTAACGTTTTTCTACTATGGAAATGTGGCAATAGTAAACATTTGCTTTGGTTCCAGTTACTTTTATAAAACGTTGTATAGGTACTTCCTTTTAAGGTATTTGTAGTTTTGCTTTAAAATATCGTTTTTCATAGTTACTTAAAAGATGCCTTTTTAAATTAAATAATCATGTTCTTAAAGTATGTAAAAAGAAGTACCTGTCCTAAATCTTTGCAAATTTTGAATTTGGTAACTGCAATTAAGTGTTTTCGATTGCATAAACTTAAAATTTTAAATTTATACTGCATAAATAAAATGAAATATAAAAATTGTTTTATTGTATTTAATAACAATGATTTTCACACAAACAACGTTGTGATAAAATCACTCATCTCACTAGTCATCTTCTTTTTCCATATCCGTGACTTTTTGTATAAGCTGGTTTGAAGCTTCCCGATCAGCAAAGTAATTATCCTCGAGGACTTCTGCGCTTTGCACGGCACTTAAAATGTGAGACTGTTTGCTTTTCTTAAAAATTAACTGAAAACGTATTTAAGTTAATTAATATTTTTTGAACAAGAAACCGAACTGAGCACAGTACTTACCTAGATAGGTAGGTAGATAGATACCTATATCGAGTTCGAGCAGCAGAACGTAATCTGATGCTTATAATATGGAGCCACCCCGAAATAATCCTACTTATTACTCTGTCACAAACATGAAGTAATGTTATCTTATGATAATAAATTTGGCTATCGCTTGTCGTATTAAAGAAATTGCAAATTGCCTGTCTCGTTCAACAGCAGGCAGGAAAATCTGTATAAAAATTTATAGCGTTTGAAAAGGCCAGCAGAAGCCCATGGCATGGCAAGGATTGGCCTCCAACGAGACTTATTGATTTCTGCATTCACTTCTAAATCAGCTCTAATTTCTTAGAAATAAAGGAAAGGATAATTACCCACATACTTTAACACAGGTAAGCGGGACGAAATCCCAAACACGTGATCCGCTCCAGTATCGGATTATTGGAACGCGTGAAGAATAGGGGATGGGCTGCCCACGTTTACAGAATGCAATGTCCCGACCGTGGGTCCGAAGACGGCAGTCGTCGATTTGGAAGATCACAAGCAAAAGTGGTACTTAAAACGAGTGTTCTGGGGGAGTGGAGAGACGGAACCACACTAACACCTAAGTAAGTACCTACTTAGTGCCTTATTACAAAAAAGTTAAATGCGCCATGAACACTGGTTCATATTAGGACCTAATATAACCAAAAAAACTCGAAATTAACATATACCTAATAATTAGGTATATGTTAATTTCGAGTTTTTTTGTAAGAGGGGTCATAAGTATGACTGTGTATTGGATAGTGAGGAAAAAACATCTTTTTTACTCAGCTTTTTTATTAAAGCTTATTATTTGCACATTGAACAGGGCCAAATGGCTAACTTAATACCTTATGACATTCTTCTCCAGTTAACCTTAGGGTCATCATTTCTATGACCCTAAGGTTAACTGGAGTACCTACCTAGTCCGATTTAGATATTTTTAAGTTATTTGCACAAACGACGCACACAATGCCATATGAAAGTTATCCTTAGGGGCCAAAAAAAATTGGAGTGAGTACTTCATTTCAGCCAAATGACGTCCATTGCTGGACAAAGGCCTCCTCCAAGGTTTTCCACAATTAACGGTCCTGCGCTGCCCGCATCCAGGCTATTCCCGCGACCTTTACCAGATCCTCGGTCCACCATTGGGTTCACCTAGTAGGAGGCCTGCCCACGCTCCCCTATTCCACTGTAATCCATTAATGGATTAGATTCCTCTTCTGGGTACACTTTAGTCCATCGATGGACTTGTTTCCGCATCAGAGTATACCCCAATCCATCAATGGATTTGATTCCGCTTTTAAGTACACCCTAATCCAAAAAATTTTACACAACTGTTTTAAAAGTAGCAGTAGAATACCATCATCTTTTATCCATCCATTGGATTATACATTTTAATTCGTGATTTATTTTATAGAAATATAAATAATATAGATAGATATAGAAAATACGAACTCATTTATTTTTAAAAGGAAAAGCCCAGGTATATTAATTATTTAAAAATCAAAATTAAAATCATGACTTAGTTAATCACGTTGGCCTAAGTAGGCGCGCGGTCTTAATCCATATAGGTAATAGCACGGACAGCTCTTTTCTGTAATTTAAAAAATTGGCCAAGTGTGTGTCTACGTAGCACGCGCAGTGTATACCTATTTCATATTTTCTTCTGAGGAATTTTTACTGGTTTAACAAATCGTATATTACATGAGTCAAATGACTATTTTCTCTTAAAGTAAGTGATCAACCGCTATAGTTTTCCTTGAAAGTTCATGAAAAGCCAACAGTTTAGTTTTTAGAGAGGGGGGGGGACGATTCATCCCCACTTTACATGTAGGGGAGCTACCTTAAAAAAAATTTTACTCTACCGTTCTGTCGGCGTGATTAATAAACATACCTTCACAATTACAGCTCTCTAGTGCCAGTAGTTTCTAAGCAAAACCTCGGACAGACAGACATATCGAAACTATAAGGGTTCCTTGTCAGGACTACGGAACCCTAAAAAGCTATTTCAAATTACAACCCTCTCTCAACAAATAAAAAAACTTAAAGCCTTGAAACGAATAATTGACCCTTTATTATTAAAATTCTTAGTTATTTCATTTTAACTCTTCCAGAAAATGGCCCACTATTATGTACCTGGGCTTTTTCCTTTAAAAATAAATGAGTTCGTATTTTCTATATTTATAATATTATTTATATTTCAATAAAATAAATCACGAATTAAAATGTATAATCCGATGGATTGGGGTATACTCTGATGCGGAAACAAGTCCATCGATGGACTAAAGTGTACCCAGAAGAGGAATCTAATCCATTAATGGATTTGACCAATGGATTACAGTGGAATAGGGGCCCACGCTACTGCTTCCAGCGTACTTAAGAGTAGGTACTTACTTANACCTAGTAGGAGGCCTGCCCACGCTACTGCTTCCAGCGTACTTAAGTAAGAGTAGGTACTTATTGTGTTTTATTAGGCTTAAAATATCCGGAAAAAGTACCTAGGTATTTTATCTCTCGGTATTACTGGAAGGTTTGCTTTCTTTTAGGTATGCATGACTATTAATTAAATAATACCTTATAAAACCGTGGCTTTTCATAAATCCATAGGCACATAATAGACGCAATCAATATCGACAGAACAAACAGTAAGTAATTAGAAGAATATGTGTAAGCATTTGAAAACATTTCGTACCAAAAAATATTTATGTCAGTTTGCATCACAGGAAGTTTTTCCAAGAAAACGTTAAAATGTCGATCGTTCAATCATAAAATGAAAAAAGTATTATTAGGTATCATAATTAGGTATAGGCCACCTAAGTAGATACCTATCTTAATTTATTATTTTAAATCTGTGTAGGTCAATGATCTATCTATATGTATATATAAAAGAAAGTCGTGTTAGTTACTCCACTTATAACTCAAGAACGGCTGAACCGATTTAGCTGAAAATTGTCAGGGAGGTAGTTTAGAGCCAGGAGAAGGACATAGGATACTTTTTATCCCGTTCGAAATAAAAAAAAGTCTGCTTATTTATTGCCATTAAGGCGGAACAAAGTTCGCCGGGTCATCTAGTATTATATAAATACAAAATATCATTGGTGTATAAGAATCCGACTTTAGGTAGGTAAACGCTTTTGAGAAAAAAATACTAAAAATTGTTTTAACGTCTACATACCTATTAGGTAATCAATCTTTTTACATTCTTATTGACATTCTTCTCATAGAAATTCCGGTAGGCCAGTAGAATTTGATTTTAATCGGAAAACAAACAAACAAAATCTTCAGCGTTTTAGATGAACCTGTTGTTGTTGACTTTGGAGTCGAACCTTGGACCAGGTATAAGACTAGGCAACGGGTACCCTCAAGGAAGGGGGCAGCCACAGTAGATAACACAGATTCGTTCAAGAGAGTGCAAGGAAGAGGTGCAGCAAGAGCTCAGATCATAGTTCTATGATCTGAGAGCAAGAGCAACCATAGTAAAGAAATGGCTGGGATGAATATTAAGGATAGGCGATAATAGAGGCTTGACAGGGATACGCTGGTTAAGGCAGCCCTTTTCAAGGATTGACGCCAAGGTCCGCGGTATACCAGTGGCGGGGAGACCAAAGATCTGGTGGGCAAAGACCTGCGGTCGAAGGTAAAAAAGAAGAGCTTCAGGAGATGGCCCAAGAGTGCTGGAGGGGACGCTTACTTAGCCGTTAGTCGAGTCGGGCGTCGCACTGTGCAGGTACTTCTGCCTAGCGGAGTGACGCGTCGGCATGGTCGCTTAACCCTTAAATGCATAGTGTTGCCATATGTCTACGAAGTACTTTTTTAATTATAATAAGTAACACATTTTATAAGCGTTTCTGAACGTATGCTAATATCATAGAAAACATCATAATAAAAATAAAAAAAACGCAAATGAAGGTAGATTTGAAAAAAAATTAACCGATATTTGACGTAGCGATTGCGAAAGAGAAAAAATTGGTAGTGTTAAAATTTGTGGTATTTTAATTTCGGATTCAGTGAGAATTAATTGCTAAAACGATTGGAAAAAAATACATACGTGTTAGAAATAATGTAAGAATTCATTATTATAACTTATTTTTTTGGTAATCTATCCCGAATGTGCCTTCGACTTGATTTTTGTGTATGTAGCCAAATGTCTACACCATGCGTTTATGCCATAAAATTGTTCTATGGTTTGCTTATTTGGCTTTTCTTTTCAGCATGTTTGGCTCGCTATCTGAAAAGGAAATTGAGGCAGCTCTTGCTGCTTTAAATGAAAGCGCGCTCTACACTCGCTCGCGATTCTTGCTGTGAATTCACGCCGCGATTCGCGCCGTGCACTTCGCGTTTATATGTGTCTCTCCACACTCGCGAAGCCTCGCAGTCTCGTTCGCGGCCTCAATGGATGACGACGTGATTGTCGCTACTGCGGTGACGCTCTATGCTATATCGTATTACAATTACCTATGTATTAAAAATAAGACACAAATAAAAAATGTTTAATGGGTTTATATATTTCACTTGAGCTTGCCCCACTATGAGTGGAATCCTTAACTTTCTTTATATAGGTTCTATAACTGGACATAAGTGAGTCCTTTTTTTTCAATTCACCCACAGGAATATTCAAAATGTCATTTATCCGCGTCCAGGCATAGTGGGTCTTATTTTTATTTTTATGGTCCTTGTATTTGGACTGCCAAAGTATTGGTTTGGATTGAAAACACTCGATAAATTTCAACTCAAGTTCATTATTCCATGTAGTAATCATTTAAAAAAATAGAACGTTAGTAAGTACGCAATAATGCACAACCACTTGCGACGGCGTCTTCTCAGCTACTGCGAAAAACTGCGAGTGTAGTTGCGTTCGCGATCGCACGCCGTGAACCAAGCGCGAACCTTTGTCGCGGGACAAAAAACCGACAACGAACGGGGAACGGCGCGAAGCGTGAACGTGAACGCGCGAAAGTCCGCGAAACCATCTACACACGCGTTTCGCGGCTTTCGCGGCCTTATTTTTAAAATAGGTAGTTGAAACAAACCACAGCTAATTTTCATAGTGGACTGTACTATACGATAAACATGACAGTCAATTTGACAACCTTTGTCGGAAACATTATTCAATGAAAATATTGTCCGAACCCTTAGTATTTCTCTTCGACAAATACTTTAACACATTGTGAACCACTTTTCTTTCACGACTATAAAAATATTTTAGCAATTTAATTCATAAAACCAATTGCGCACATTTAAAATAAAGTTTGTTTACACTTTGACAGCAATAGACTGACATGCAAGGTGACATGTCAATGAAGTTTTCAGTTACTGTTGCCATTAAAAGAAATTAGTACCATTAGTTTTCCGCAACATGGCGAGGGTTTTTATGTTCCTGGTCAGGCTATACATTCTTATTGACATTCTTCTCATAGAAATTCCGGTAGGCCACTAGAATTTGATTTTAATCGGAAAACAAACAAACAAAATCTTCAGCGTTTTAGATGAACCTGTTGTTGTTGACTTTGGAGTCGAACCTTGGACCAGGTATAAGACTAGGCAACGGGTACCCTCAAGGAAGGGGGCAGCCACAGTAGATAACACAGATTCGTTCAAGAGAGTGCAAGGAAGAGGTGCAGCAAGAGCAACCATAGTAAAGAAATGGCTGGGATGAATATTAAGGATAGGCGATAATAGAGGCTTGACAGGGATACGCTGGTTAAGGCAGCCCTTTTCAAGGATGGACGCCAAGGTCCGCGGTATACCAGTGGCGGGGAGACCAAAGATCTGGTGGGCAAAGACCTGCACCCCGTGAGGTCGAAGGTAAAAAAGAAGAGCTTCAGGAGATGGCCCTAGAGTGCTGGAGGGGACGCTTACTTAGCCGTTAGTCGAGTCGGGCGTCGCACTGTGCAGGTACTTCTGCCTAGCGGAGTGACTGCGACGTCGGCATGGTCGCTTAACCTACCGGATGACCCAGCTACTGACTGGCCACGGGTGTTTCGGGGCCTTCCTTCATCGAATAGACCGAGAACAGGTACCAGGCTGCCATCACTGCAGCCTTGACATAGTGGATTCAGCTGAGCACACGCTCCAAGAAGCTTGATACCTATAAGTAGGCAATGACCTCTCTCTCTACCGGTCTTAGTCCACCATAAATGCTAATACTATCAGTCTAATGCCCGTTTTCACCATCAATCCCTAATTTTTAAGTGAACCCTATGGTAGCAATTAACAGGAATTTTGTTTACATAGGGGTCACTTAAAAATTAGGGCTTGATGGTGAAAACAGGCCTAAATCTTATAACTAACATTTTCAATGTATCGCTGTTGGTTTCTATAAAATAGGTAAATAAATAATAAAATAAATATGACCAATGGAGAGGAGGCGTGGCGTGGAGTTCTCACCTGTAAAGCAGTCATCTCACAAAAGGAAGCGGCAGAGAGGGAGCGGGAAGCATCGCTCGACGCACCCATTGCCCGCCGCCGACGTCATGGGCACAGGAGGAGGCTCTATGACCTGCACCTGCCCCTTCCTAATAGGTCTCGGCTATCAGATACGGGGGTGTCTGGTGGCGTCTAAAGAGGCCGCGATGGCGCAGCACGTGTCCTGCGTGCCGCTCGCAGGAGGTTGAAGGCGTAAAGACGCCTTCCTTGGTTTGAGGCTGCGCACTTCGTTCGTTCGTTTCAGCCGAAAGACGTCCACTGCTGGACAAACGCCTCCCCCAAGGATTTCCACAAAGACCGGTCCTGCGCCGCTTGCATCCAGGTACTTCCCGCGACCTTCGTGTCGTTAGTGGGAGGCCTGCCCACGCTACGTCTTCCAGCTCGTGGTCGCCACTCAAGAACTTTCCTGCCCCAGTGGCCATCAGCTCTTCGAGCTATGTGCCCCGCCCACTGCCACTTGATTTTAGCGATTCTGCGGGCTAAGCTTGCCGAATGCCGAGCAAAACGCCGATAGTGATGGCCCGCGTTCCCGACTCATATGGCTACCGAGGGCAACGTCAGGTTTTTAGTGGGTAGGCCCTGCCCTTCTGGCAGGGAGAACCCCCTAGCTGGCCCCGCGGCTGGTGGGTATACAAATCAATGTATTTTCCTGACGAAAAAAAAAAGCCCTTCAAGGATTCGACGATTGACCTCTTTCTCGAAATTGGATCTACCTCTAGCTGAATCGTTGGTTTGGCCTTTTTTGTCCGAGGTAGACATAATTGTCAACAAAGATGTATTCTGTGGTAGTTTCGTACTGATTGCAACACATGTGAGGTGCTAATTTTGGGATACATGTATAAATACTGCCGGAGATATGGCATCCGGTTTTTTCACATTGGGATAGAGGATAAAGAGATTTTAGGATACCTAGTTGCTTAATTGTAAAAAAAATAAGTACCTATGAATTTCATGTTTATTACATTCACAATAATATTATTATTTCTTCATTTTAGTACCAATTAACAAAGAACACATGTCATATTCTTATTCTAAGACTAAGTAACTTGAAAGGAATTGACATTCATAGGACAAAATTAATTGTAAAAATAAAATTTGGACCACTTTAAACTGTTATCCACATTTCGGAAAGATTAAATATACATCATTTCAGCCATTGATGACATCTTTTTGGGTATATGAACCAGTGTCTCAAAGTAACTTGCTAACTCATCAATTGTGACATCACATGGGGGATTAAGTGCTTGCTGAGAACAGGTGCCAGTTTGACTTTTATCGGGAACAGATTGTTTTGTTTGTCTTGCAAGTGATATGTCATTCTTCCACCAATTGTTTTTACTATTTACTTCTTTGGCAGTTACATTTTGTTTTTTCACATCTGAAGATATTCTTAATTGGTTACAGTTATCAACTAGTGCACACAAGTTTAAAACATCAGCGTTGATTGTTCGTGATAAAGGGTAACCTTTACTCTGTGCTATACAACCTTCCTCTAAGACACTACTGTCTTTACTACATGTTTTTATAATCTTTAACACAGGATCTCTTATAACTTTATTATGTTTCTTTTTGCAGATTGTCATATAATTTTTTTGTTGTGGGCATGTACACTTAGAATGTGATGCATAGCTTCTTGAAAAAATATTTTTTTGTTGAGACTTATTAATAAATGGATTGTCCTCTTTCATAGGCTTGTTTGTTTTTATGGGCTCTATTTCTAATTTTCCCATTTCCACTGGTAATAACAAATCTTCTTTTGCCATTATGGTAAACTGTAAAAGAAATTAATGGTACAACAACAACAATGATGGATGATTAAAGGAATAATACTGGTAACTTTGTATCTAAAATGTTGAACCTTTAATTTAACTGCCTCTGTGTTGAGTGACGTCTAGCGTCCTCTTGATTTACGAATTATTAGACCTTAGTAAACAATTATAAGAAATATTATGTAAATGTATGTTTTATTCAAACTTACCTGGTCTATACAATCCAAAAAAAATATCGTAATTTTCTCTGCGAATAATTGTGTAGAATTAAAGCTTTTAATCAAAATAAACTTAGTAATTCTAGGTAAAATTATCGTACAACAAATCATTCATCATTGCTTGATGATGACAGACAAAAAGTCAAAAGTGACAAGTCACAGACAAATACAAAAAAATAGTGTTGCTCCAGAGTCACTCAAACCGAAGTTGTATGGATGAACAAATTGCAAACGACAAAATGCACTTTTTAATCGAATCGAAAATCGAATGCGTCAAAACTCCATAAAAAAACAGTTTTTCGACCGCTTTTCGGCTTTTTCGCGATTATAATGTTGTCTAAACCCACTGGAATGCGTGTGAACACACTGTGTCGAACTGTCGATCAATCTCTTGCAGTGTGAATACGATACGATATCATTACGATGCTTACCAATTGATAGCGTGCCATGTATAGTATAGTTTATTTTTGGACTACACAAGCTGCTCTACTGCATTGGTTGCGTTCAGCCGAAAATAGCACTTGTTAGAAATTGTTAGCAAAATGGCGATCGAATGAAACTTTAGCATGTTTTCGGCCAGGAAACGTGCTGGAAGTACACTATGCGGGAAATTGGCCAAGCCGCATCAATGTGAACACAAAGCTGTAGTTGGTCCCCGTATCGGTTCCCAAGATAATGAATGACGTTTAAAAAGTGGCACGCTCGTTTTCATACTAAAAAATTTGTCATCCTGCATCTATCCATATTTGTGCTCTCTCGGGTCTAAAAAAAAAAACTCACTTACCAGCTGTCAAACTCTATGGCGGTTCCAACCNAAAAAAAAAAAAAAAAAAAAAAAACTATGGTTCCATCCACCCCCGTGCGTCACTGAAACACAGATGAGACAGGGACTGAAACGTCTCTGAAACCATCATTGACCCATTGACCATTGGAAGGAAATAACTAATCAATTTTTGTGGGTTTATTTAATTGTAATACATTTTTATCAAGTGCATAATATCAGTATTTACTCGAAAAATATAGGTATAAGTTAGGTGATCATTGGTGTTTCATGTTACAGATTAATTGTATCTGAAACCATCATTGACCCATTGACCATTGGAAGGAAATAACTAATCAATTTTTGTGGGTTTATTTAATTGTAATACATTTTTATCAAGTGCATAATATCAGTATTTACTCGAAAAATATAGGTATAAGTTAGGTGATCATTGGTGTTTCATGTTACAGATTAATTGTATTGATTTTTAGTGTTCGTCATAATAATGGAACCAAATCCTGTAATTATCGCTGCTACTGCGAAACATACAGCTTCTGTAAGTCTTCATTTAAGTATGTTATCATACAATATAGGTGGTAATAGATACTAGGTAATTGTTTGTTTTAAATTGTTTCAGCTTATATTTTTCCATGGTTTGGGCGATACCGGGTTAGTATTAATCTTTTTATATGAATACTTCGAAAATAGCTTATGAAACCCTCTAATTCCAGATTATAATAAGTCACTTACTCTAATTGTATGAGACCTGAAACATTTTCCATTTGCAGTCATGGTTGGGCTAGTACTATTGCTGCTATCAGGGGACCCCATGTAAAAGTGATATGCCCTACAGCATCTACTATGCCTGTCACTTTAAATGCAGGCTTTAGAATGCCATCGTGGTTTGATCTTCGAACTCTTGATGCAACAGCCCCAGAAGATGAAGAGGGCATTTTAAGAACAACAAAACTTGTACATGCATTGATTGCTGATGAAGTAAAGGTAGTATGTCTTTACTGTTAATTTTTTTAAATAATGTAGGTACCTACTCATTTGTGATGATTGTCTTACATCTACAGGATGACAGGGAAACTCAACCTATTCCTTGAAGGGGTAGGGTTTGCTCCCGGGAAATCCCGGTACTCATTTTTCCCGGGAATTCCCGATAATCTAATCCTTTATCTAGTTCCGGTACTGACGATGCAATTCCCGAGACTTTTCGGTACTTTCGGGACTACAATAATTTATTTTTGAATAACAATTTTTTGACTAGATGCCATCATCTTTTTACGTACACACTATCAATAAATGAAAAAATATTAAAAATGTCATTACTATCCTTTTAAGACTGATTGTTTTATCTTTTTTTTATATCCACAACGAGGAACTGATTATCTGATTGTACTTAGGTACTACTTATTATTTCTTATAATAGCGTGTTTTTTTATAAACCTAATTTAGTTAAGTTATGTTTTGTCCCTAACTCTTGTCGCTGCCAGTATTTGACATTGATAGAAAGTGAGAAAACATTTTTTAACTAAAATATACTGGTCATCACAAAAATCGGCCCACCTACGTTTTACAGGAAATCTCGTTTCTACTGACACAATCATGGTGCCCCAACAATATTGGTGTTATTTGAAAGCCCAATAAATATCCTTAAAGAAAAACACATTTAATTTCTTAATAAACGATTAACATAAACGCGATACACAATAAATGTGACTTGAAAAAAGACCTCACTTTGGGCTCACCTCTGGGATCAATTAGACCAATTTTTATGGTTATAAAACCAAATAATGATCTCACGTGTCCTCTTTAACAGATGGATAGCGATTAATCCCAAATTAACAGTTTTATAGCCATAAAAGTTGGCTCAAGCGTAACTACCTATTTTTTGAAGAAGTGACTCTGGATTCTTCTACAGACACATTTTTGGGGTAAAAACCTTTCCTTTAATGAAATGAAGTTTAGAACTCGGCTTTTAAATGGTGCCAATATTGGTGGGAAGTGGGGATGCATACGTTTGAAAGTGCTTGTCGCGGGTGGGTCGATTTTTGTGATGACCAGTGTAGGTTGATTAAACGATTATTATGATTTTTAATGAGCATTTATAACTAGTTTTATCGTGTTGTGTAACTGTTTCGACTGATTTATTATTAAGGTAACAGACCAATTAAACTGAACAGAAAAAGTTTAATATTTTTGTTAACCTATTCACATTTTTATTAAAATTACGTACAAATTAGGTAATTTGTTTTAATAACCATTCACGTGGGTACCGAAATTCCCGAATTTCCCGGTTTTCCCGGTACTGGCTTAGACCTGGTACCGGTAATTCAGTAACACTCCTTAGTACCGGGACTTGCAACTAGGGTTGCCAGGTCCAAAATCAAAAAAGCCGGACTCTGTGCTTCATTTGGCCGGACATTTTACCCTAAAAGCCGGACAAGTAGCAATTAGTGTCATTGCTCACGAGTGAGTAGTGTCATCGTCGTATCATCGGTTGCCCAACATAACATCCTTATGCGTGCGCTTCATATTATTCTATGGCTCAACTTTCGCCTGGCGTAGCAGGCCACATAAAAAGCCTAACAAAAGCCGGACAGGCCGGACAAGACAATATTAGGCCGGACAAGACCGTAAAAAGCCAAACATGTCAAACGGCTAAAGCCGGACGCCTGGCAACCCTACTTGCAACCCCTATGAAGGGGGTTATACTAGAGGCCATTAGCAATAAATTAAGTCATTCAAAATAATTTTTTTTTCAGTGATCACAAATTTTTCAGCTTTCATAAAAGTGTAAATTTTATTTTTGACATGGAGTAATTTATTAATAAAATGGTTTTTGATAAGTTTCTAAAAATGTAAGAAGTGTCATATAACTTGGTAACCTACCCCTGATAACCAACCATCAGGGTTCAAAACCACCCTAGTTCACTGGATTTAAATTGTTGCTAATGACCTCAAGTATGATAATGATATCCCCCTTCTAGGAACAGGCTGTTTCCCTTCATTCTGTATAATTAAAATCATAAGTCAAGTTTAGGAAACATGAGTGAATATCTATACTAATATTATAAATGCAAAAGTAACTCTGTCTGTCTTGCTTTCACGCCTAAACCACTGAACCGATTTTGATGTAATTTGGCATAGAGATAGTTTGAGTCCTGGGAAAGGACATAGGATAGTTTTTATCCCAATTTTTGAAACAGGGACGCGTGTGATAAAGTTTTTCTGTAACAGAGAAAATTCCACGCGGGCGAATAGCTAGAAATGAAAAATGTATGAACCATTTAAATTCATCATTCTCTCTCATGACATAAATGCATAATTATTTGTATTATGTTAGTATGGGGTCATCCATAAAGTACGTCACACGTAAAGAGGGGGGGAGGGGGTCGACAAAGTGTGACATGGTGTGACAAGGGGTGGGAGGGGTCCTAAGTTTCGTGACATCACATTTCTAGAGGTACTTACTAAGNGCCCCCCCTCCCCCTGCTACCACAGGGGGGGCTCCCGATGTCTACCGACGGAAATCTACTCAGAAGCACCCAAAGAACCACTGTTGCAAAAATGAGCCTTCTATACCAAAGTGGAGGGGTTCTTGCACTAAATTCCCTACTAGCAGATACTTTGTAAAAATTAATGCACAACCCACGACGCGGTATGCGCCCGCAGCGTGCGCGGTTGTATGCGGGTCCCGCTGCACCGATGGGCAATTAGTAGAAAAATCGCGCGGGCCGCGGTAACCGCAGCCTCTGCGGTTGGCGCCCGCACGCTCTGCGATCGATTGGCGGGCGACCATTTTGTACAAGGACTTAACTGCGTCTTGCGATTATCGCCCGCTACGTTTGTGGGCGACGATCGGCGGCTGCGTAACCGCGCAAATAACCGGTCCCGTGAGTTTTGAAATAAAACCCATAACCCAATTCCACAACCGCGGCGGCCGCGGGTGCAAATCGCACCGTGAGTTCTTAGCCTAAGTTTTTAACGCGAATAATCCACACTGGGCCTAAAGCCAACTTTTTTTAGGTATACAGGGTATTTGGCGGAAGGATAGACAAACATCATGGGTGTATAGGTAAGGTCATTTTAAGAATACAAGTTCGCCCATTTAACCCTAAGTGAGCTACTTTTTTTATACTCTTGTTTTTATAATTTTTTTCCAAAGGACAGTGCCAATCCATGTATGGAAGTTGGACCAACTGCTGCCCAGAATGAAACCATAGTGCATTTTGTTCCTCAGGCCAATACTAATTTATAAACCGGAGCGCACTGAAATCTATCCCTGGAGTTAAGAGAAAAAAAGAGTTTTGTTTTGAATTATTTACATACAAAATATCATCGATGTATACGTACTAAGCATAAGATTTCGCGATTGTGGCAT